AGTAGCAGATCACTCTGTTACCAATCGCTCGCAAAGTAGCCGCGTTGTACAATTATAGGTGGAAGATTTATGAGATAAATAAATAAATAAATAAGATGTGTAAATGGCGGCAAAAATAAATAGATAAATAGATGGAACGGTGCGCAATGTATGCAATAAATAATATAATAATAAATAAATGATATATGATAGCATATATATATATAAGTATATATATATATATATATATATATATATATATATATATATATATATATATATATATATATATATATATATATATATATACGTATAATTATATATATATATATATAATAAATAATTATACATATATAATAAATCATGTTAATAATAAATAGATAATTATCGCGACAGGCCGTTCGTGATTCATTCTTGTGCGATGGTATCGATTGAAACGCACGTGATGAACGTGCGCGCGAGATAATTGCATTCGGCCGCGTGTTATCGTCGGTGGAAGCGCGCGATCGGTCTCGGCACTGTTGCCTGCGAGATCAGCTGCCGATTGTACGTTTTATCATATTATTTAGCAACACGGACGTGAGAGGATCTATAAATACCTAGGCATGCGATAGTTATTACCTATTCCTACGTAAAATGACACCAACACTCCTATCCTTCTAACGTCAAACGCCAAGTAAACCTATTAAATTCCCGGTAAACGCGCGTCACTAGCCTCAAACGAGTTCCTACGTGCGCGCGCACTCTCACACACGCGCGCGAGTAAGTGACAAAAACAGAAAAATATATCTGTTTATTTACAGATCCGCCGATCGCGACTATTCGCCGATAATAACATCGCTATCGCTCGTCATCGTCCGTCGAGACAACACGCCTGGACGTCCGTTCTCTGCGTGAAATTATCACCGGTGCGCGCCGGTGCAACACGAGATCCGTCCTCCACGAAAGACGAATGTCAAAATAGTGTATTCTCCGCCTCAACATGACATCTGTCATTGCCCGCGGTTCGACGGAGAAAGTAGCTCGATGAACGCTCGATGACGGATCATTACTCCCGATTGGCAACATTCTCTTGGATCTATTCGCAGAGGCAAATCCGAAGGGATACTCTCTACACACAGAGAGACGGCAATCACTGAGCGCTCATTGGGCTACTTTCTCCGCTTCTCTCCGCAGCTATTATTGTCATCATCATCACCCTCGAATCGTCATCCGCCTTCCTCGAGAGGTCCTCCTCTTCGGTGTCAGTAGTAGTTGGTCGTCTGCTCCTTGAAGACCACCAGATGGGCGCACACGCAGCCGACGTAGAGCTTCTTGGTTCGTTGTCGTTCGCTGCTGTCGTTGTCGTACGACACCTCGATCTCCTTGTACGTCTGTATGCAGCAGTGTGTGTTAGTGCCGAGGCAGCTGCTGCCCGCGTGGTTGCACTTTACGTGCTCCAGCACCTTGGGCGTCCTGTAGGGGTCGAGTTCCGACTCAACGGTGTAGTTGCAGACGGACTTGTTCTGCACCTCCCTGACCTCGTACTCGTAGTACTTCTTCAGGGTCTCCTCGTGCTCCAGCTCCAGCCGGACCGCGCGGGCACTGTTCAGTAACTTGCGATTGTTACCGCTGTGCCGCTCCGCCTTATGCAGATGCACCCTCTTGGCGCTGCTCGGCGTTCCCTCGTACTCCTCCTCGTCCCTCGTTCGCTCTTGGTTATTCCTCGAGACGTGCCGGCGTCGGTGAATCACCGGCGCTTGCACTTCCACGTCCTCGTACTCCGAGCTCGGGAACGAGTCCGATTGAGCCTCCAGGTATTCGTGCCTCTGCCGGTAGGCCTCGTGATGCCTGGAGCGATCATCTCTGCTCTCCGGGTGTTTCGGCAGTAAATTCACCGACATCGGCCCCTCGTGATACTCCGCCCGGGAATGACGGTGTCGCCGCAGACTGCCGCCTTCGACGAGCGTGCCGAAGATGACACAGGTGAGGAGAACGGCCAGGCACAGTCCGACAGTGGACACACTCATTGTCGAATCTTGTCCGGAAGGACGCTCGAAAGTCGGGCTCTCTCTCTCTCTCTCTCTTGCTACCCCCGATGGGAACAACGGGGGAGGTCAGGCGATTAAGGCGCTTCAAAGAGACTCACCTCCTCGAGCCTTCGATTATATATCGGTCGACGCTTCTTCCTCGAGTATCGCTGTTAGCGCGAGGACTATATCGAGTTTCCTCTGAGGTGCGCACGGTCGGCGCACACAACGTATCGCTGCGGTGAGAAGGATGACGCAACCTAATCCTGAAGTTTTGCGGACGGCCCGCCGTTCGGCCGTGTGACGTAAATTCTAAGTGTCCCGCTGCCGACTTGACCGCTCCTCGGCCGCGATGCCGAATGATAGCCCGTGACAGTCGCAGTCCAAGTTCGGCGAGCAGACTCGAGCCGCGCGAGAGAGTCTCGTTTCCCCCGGACGGATTCCTCTTCGGCGGGTCCAGCCGTGCGGCCACTAAGTTCACGCGCACCTCCTCGGGGCCTCTCTACGTGCACCGCAAGAGAAGCCGTCGTCGTCTCTTCGTCTGGATCGTCTCGCTTAATGGCTTGCTCAAAACTGAGTATTCCTTGATCCCCGAAGGACTTTTTATCCTGCCGGTGGACGCGCACGTGGGTGTTGTTGCCCCACTTTAACGGGGGCTTGCGCGTGCCGATGTGATATTGTGAAGTGACTAATCGCCCCCTCTCTTCGTCTGCACCTTGTGCAGCCCCTCGGTCGGGGCCCCCAAGAGGAGAAGAGTTTCTTCGCTGGCTCGCGCGCGCTCTCGGCTCCTTCTTCTTCTTCTTCCTCGAGGATAAGGTGCCCTCCTCTTTGACGTCACCGGCTCCCTCTCGGCGGACGTCACGTCGGAGCGCTCGTTCCCGCCGCGGGCTGTTCCCTTAAACATGGATCTTAACACTCCGCTGTCCACCTCGGAGATCGACGTCACACGCCACCGGTATGCCCACCTATAGCGGAAAAAGCGGAGAGGCCGGCGCGGTCGGCCGCTCGGTGCTTCGCGGAACACCGTCCTCGGCGAATTCGCGTCGTCTTCTTCTCCTCCGGCGGAGTCCGGCGTTAGGAAAGGACGATGACGACGATGATAATGATAAAGACTATGATAACCGTTGTAACGTTGAGAGACAATCGTGCAATAACGAAGCGTGCTTAAGGAGGGGAGGGAGTTTACTTCGAAAGTAACGTAACGCCTTTCCCTTTTGCCGTTTACGCACGACACATTTTCCCGCATTGACGTACGCTATTGCATCTCATCATTCCTTTGCCGACCGACGAGAGAGAGAGAGAGAGAAAGAGAGACCAATGGCCGATCGCACGCGAACCCACGCGCCTGCCGATTATCCGAAACGGAAATTCCTCCGGGGGAAAGTATTCCTGTTACCGTTTATTACCGTTTAAGCGTCGGTTCTTTCCGACACGCGTCTCTTTCGCGGAAAATGAAGCAACAACCACCGGACTGGGACGCCGGCTTGTGTCCTCTACGTCACTTCGGAGTCCCGAGAAGAAAATTAAACTTTTGACGCCTTTTGATCGCTACCCGCGCAATATTTCGTCGAATCGGAACCTCGATCGGACCTCACGATCGAGATCTTGCCGTGTTGCGACGGTTTCATCGGTGAAAATATGAAATTAAATCGTCGCTAACTGATATCGGTTAAGTCTTTACAGCGTAACGAGAGGAGAATGATGTGAAATGAACAGAGAGAGAGAGAGAGAGAGAAAGAGAGATTGGAACACGACGACGGTTACTAAAAAATTGAAAACTGTCGTCTCCTCGTGAAAATATTTAAAATGGCATTTATACAAACGCGGTTTATACCCATACCATCGCTCTCCCTCTCTTGAATAACACCATGGTGGCTGCCGCGCGCGTTCGCGTGAGCCAGTTGAAGTGGAATCATCAGGCGCTCGGGGGTTCCCAGACGTCTCTTTCTTTTTAAAAGGTCGGGGAACGTGTGCATCATGAAAGCGCTCGGAATCCTCACTAACTTCTACCATTTACCTGCCGTTACTTCTTTTCGACGAGTGTGCGCGTACGTGCGTGCATGTGCGCGCGTCTGTACGTGTGGATATATTTAGGTACAGAAAAAAAAACTCGAAACTCGTCCGCGTGCATATGTATGCGTGAAAAAAAATATATATAAATTATATACTATTAATTCGTTCGTTACGTGGAAACATAGGTAAGCATAATATTAAGATTAGATTTCATAACGTAGTAAAAGTGGTACAGAAAATGCGACCGAAGACATTTTTCATGTGTTCTCGTTCGGCGATTGACTCAAATTGGAATTCTGTCAAGTTTTCAATCTCTCAATATCCAAACGTATTGACTTATAATGAACGTATTGACTCATGGAAGAATTTCACAAGAGAACTCCGAAGTTAAAATATGTTAAAATCGCTAGAAGCGTAAATGTGAAACATTATTTCGGCCTTTTTCCATATTCGACATTCGATGCGGCGGCTAATGCATATCGGGATACCGGTATATTTTGAAATAAAAAAAAAAAATCAGGCAAAAAGAACAGCGAGCTATTTTCGCAGAAACTATCCTCGATTTCGTTTCGCAAATTAGAAATTTAATTTACACGAAAATAAATGGATGTTTACTTTATGCTAATGCTGTTGTTGTTTGTATATTCAGATTCTCGAATTCTACGGATTCCGTCCGACTGGAAAAGGAGCAAAAAACGAAGATGTTGACGGCGTCATTAAAAATTACAGAGTCGAGTTTAACAGCAGACTGGTTATTTTCCTAAACAATTAAAACGGACTTATTCCAATGCACGACTCGATTTGTTTTGCTCGGATACTGATCGATACTTTCTGTGCGGCGACAGTTTAATAATAAGGACAAATTAATTAGAGAGGCTCGCTTCATCAATTCTCGCATTACGGCGAGATTTACGCATTACGGACGAGGAATCGCGCAATTTATATTCAGCGCATTTCGGATTCTGGGACCTGGAATGTATGTACGATGCGCACACCTTCTCGTGTGAAGAAACCCCGGGTTCGTTTTATTCATGAAATATTCGAAGCGTTCCGGAAAATCCCACACACACACATACAGGCCATCAAATGCAACAAGGAGATAAGACAATATATCGTCGGATAAAACTTTGTAATTACCCGTCTTATCTACACGAATAGATCCGCCGGGAGATCGTATCTCGTGGGAAAACTAGCATGCGTGCCGAACTTAAGGACGGATTGCGTGGCGACCGCACAGGCTCTTCCGATGCACTCGTCCATCGATAGCTGCGGATGATACGCCTTGAAATATGCGAGCGCGCCCAGAAACGCATCTCCGGCACCCTGTTGAGCAGGCGGTCTCGTCAGCAAGCTCTCGCTCTCGACGAAAACTCGTAGAAAGTATCCCAGAACCCGTTATAGTTGTTACATAATAGCGCGACGAGCTCTCTAAACTTCCTCGAGGAGAGAGATCGGCCTTGAGGATTCGTCACAAGATTCACGCGAACCGCGATACTACGACGGTTCCGGGATATCCGATGTGCGATACCTACGGTAGTATCTACAGCTTGAACCGCGACAGCGGGAATCCGTGCGACGTTCCTGCTCGTTTTCGACGCGTACACAGCCCCGAGCGACCCGAGGGTCAGTATAATCGCGTTGCATCCCTCGGCCAGGAACTTGTCCGCAACTTGCTGCACATTTGACAGATCAACGGGTCGAACGCCCGTCATAACTTCCGCCTACAAAAGCGTGCACGACCTTTTGTACGTCGAACGTTACACATGTATCACGGGAAAAGAAATTAGCTGCGGTAGCTAAATTAGTTGTCACGGAGTGTACGGACATCTAAAGAACCGTCCACGTTGGAAGCGAGCGGAGGGTAAGTAAAGAGCATCTACACGGAGAAAACAAGTTTAGCCGGGAACAGCAAATTATTAATATAGCGGCGGCAATGAGATTTGTTACACGGGAGAAATCATTTTCATGTTGTGGCAAAACGTCTTTGCGACAGCGATAAAATTCAGTCGGCATGATCGGATTATTTTGCCGTCTATATGTTCAGCAAATGGCAATTAATACCCTTGGCAAATCTTTCCGCTGTCCAAACAAATTCTTTTTGCCGTCGCTATATCAACGAAGCAAAGCAAAATTTTCTTCTCCGTGCGTTTTACTTTATTATTGTAGACGGTCCCATAGAGTATTGGTTGATGGTAAGGCAGTAGGGAAGTGGAGATCTATTTAGAACCATTTACAGCCGTAAAGTAAGACGTAAGCAGTAAGCTAATTGACCAATCGCAGTCGATTTATTTCTGGAACGTATGAATCCAATTGATCAATTGTCTTCCTGCATATTTTACGGCTATCGCAGACGGCCCTTTCCATTCACGCAACGGTGTTACGCTTCGTTCCGTTGAAAAGTAAACTCTCTTACCCCCTCTCTGATCCCGCAGTCTTACTACCTCCAACGTGTAGACGGTCCTTAAAACTTTAACAGCTTGAGCAATTTTAATTGCCGCAGTAGCAAGCTCTTTTGCTGCCGCGGCAAACGTATTATCGTAAATGACACTTACAATAGTACGTTTGCCGCTGCAGCAAAAGAGCTTTGCTACTACAGCAATTGAGATTGCTCGCGCTGCTAGCTAAAGTCTCAGGTGTCCATACGTTACAACTAATTCACCTGATTTAACTGCTGAAACTGATCCTTTTTTTCCCCTTTCCTCATATATTCGATTAATTTTCGCGTGCGCACGCGACACGCGTCGTTACGCGTCCTCGGTTACCGGGTATTCCGTGGATATCCCCGAAAGGGCCGGTTTTCCGTTACTTCGGCCAGGAACAATATTGCCCGATTGTCTACGCACCTCAGTCTCGTTGACGCAGAAAATATCGCACAATTGCAGGATTTCCGGATCGACGCTCTCCATCGCGGGCGCTCCGTTGACAATCGACAGTCCTGTTGCGTTACGTTTGTGTTGAGCACGCACAACATATACATCCGCAGCTCGGAGCCGTGATATCGCAAGTTGCAATTATAAAGAGATAGGCGTCTTTTTTTTCTTTTTTTTTGCAGGAAACGTGCGTCTGAATAACGCATATCATTTTCATATTTACAGACTGTAATTGCTGTGATATTATGATAAATATGCAAGTAAGGAAAGGTTTAACGTAATACGGATAATATAATAATACGGATGGATGGGTGTTAAAATAAGTGTTAAGAGTGTTAATGAGGGTTAAGAAAAGCTTTGTACATCAGGCCTCCTTCTTGGCATTGTATAGCTCAAGTAATAAATCTATATATATCAATTTTATATTCACTCCTCGCGGTACAATAAAGCGATATCTAAAATAGGCGTAATAAGATATAACCGGTAATAAATAAATTGACCAATCACAGTCGAATGTGAGAAGAACAATCGATTGTGATTAGTCAATTTTTTACGGCTTAAGATCCCAGAGTAATTGCTGTAACTGTCCTTGTTTAATGACGTCAGAAGCGAGAAAACGCACACTAACGTTTTTTGCGTTATACTTTCAAATAAAAACAACGTATCCACAAGATGCAAACTTCAGCAAACTTGGAAAATTGAACGAACACCGTTCCTTTACTCGAACAATCAATAAATAGTCTTAAAATTAACATTGACAAAATCGTGAGAAAAAAAGGTTCTGTATCGAATCAATTTTGCGACTATTTATTGATTGTTCGAGTAAAAGAAAAGTGTCCGACCAATTTTACAAGTGTGCCGAATCAATCACAAACGTCATTTTGTGGATATATTTTTTTATTTAAAAATATAACACAAAAATTCTTGGCACGCGTTTTCTCGCTTCTGACGTCATCAAACAAAGACAGTCGTAGCGACTACTTCGGAGTCTTAAGGCACCTGCAAAGCTTATTGCACCTATTGTAGACAGCTTGTAGATAGCTTAAAGTGTCAAATCCATATTTTTTTCTGAAAATCAAAATCAAAATTTTGTTTCTTTCTGAACTTGCGATAGTTTGGCTCCGAGAGATGCAGACATTAATATTTCCCTCCTAGTATGTGTGTAATAAAAAAAAATTAAAGAAGAACGCACCATGACCGCGGTGTAACTTTAGCGCGTGCAACGTGGTTTCCAGCGGAGTCTCAAATTGACACAGCAAAACGCTGGCATTTTTTATCACATTAACGGCAGAATCCACGCATTCCGGCGTTAACGATTCGTTTGCGCCTAACACGATAACGATACTGTTCTGGCCTGAAACACGTTATCCGAAAAAGTCATTGGAATTATCTACTAAGATTCTAAAATTATTTTTCAGCCACGGAAGGGCACTAGAATCATTTCACTAAAAAATTTGACTAATGTTCCTCCCCATTTTCCGTATGTATTCTATTTGAAATTGTTTGAAAGTTACTGTACACATTTGTCTGATGTGTACAGTATAACATAGTTTAAAGATATTCTAAAAGAATTTAATCTACATGAAATGACTACAGAGACAAAAAAGACATACCATCCTCGGCAACAGTAATGTGAGCAATACCACTGTGTTTATCTTTTTGTATCTTCACATGAGATGTGTCTACATTTTCCTTTTTCAAAATCTCTAAGTACTCTTGAGCGAACGTGTCATAACCTAACTGTGGTGGAAACATCAAAACTAAAATTAAATTCTAACATAATTACATATTTAGAGAAAGAAAAAGCAAACTATAAGCTTTCATACTGAGGCTACAAGCACAGTAGATGCGCCAAGTTTGGCAGCAGCTACACACTGATTGGCACCTTTGCCACCGTATTTTTTTTCAAATCTAGTCCCAATTATTGTTTCACCAGGCTTAGGCAAGCGATGAGAGAAACTAGAATAGAATTGAACGATTACATCATATATTGTGGTCCCTGTACTGTGTGATGTAATCATAACCAACAATCTCAGTAGTCAATCTAACAGCTTATCGTATGAAATTTCTTCTTATGTGTACGAGAAGTTCAGTTCTTACTCACCAAGTAAAGTCGATCATGCATGAACCGACAACGACTATCCTTGGAGTCATATTTCCTAATTTTTCTCTTTACAATCCACTGACAACTCCTAGACTATTAATCTTACGTTCTCAAGTGGTACTGCTACGATTACTAAGTAACAGAGACGAGTACAACCGCTAACATCGGCACAAAGAGATACGCACATACATGGAGAAAGGGGCAAGTCGCGTTATCATCGTTTATTGCTTCATGAGTCAGCCGATTCAGGAGGCACTATCAGTTGGAAATATTGTTTGCTCGCGATTTCTCGCAATTCCCGATGCATCGCGTGAACGCTTAAACGCGTGTTTATCGCGGACTGGTAAAAAATCGTTAGTCGAAACAAGGCGAATGTTACAATCTATTAACTCATTTGAATCGCTGTGCGTGATCGTAACGGGTAAAAAATATATGTATACGGTTGTTTTGCTAGAAACGTTTACCTTGAACCGGGAATAGGTTATTTTTAACGTTTATTACATCAAGAATAAAATTACACAGGGTTTGTCAAGACAATTCTTACGTCTCACACAAGGAAGGAAGAAGTTATTCGGCGATTCACTGTAAATTAGGCAGAAGGGCGAGTTATTAACAGCTGCGAGGCACGCAGAAAACATTTTCAAACATCGTCACGAATAATGAGAAACAGGTAGACGCGAATGTAGCTGAGGAAGTTTCGCTCGTATCGTATTCACATCGTGCACATTGAAATCCGGTTCATATTAGGAACGTTCACTCGAATAATGATGAACGATTCGCAATTCGTAGTTCGAGATGAAACTTGATAAGTACGTTTAGATTATGTGACAATTTAGGAACGCTGAACACCGGTCGAGCCGTCAGACTTCCATTTTGTCAATCGTTGAATGATTTTAATTTCCCGTTCCTACGACTATTCTCGGAACGATCATCTCATTGGCTGTTGCAATCTCATGAACACGTTTAAGGGAGAATTCATCCTTGATAGAAGAGCAGAAGAACAGCAACCAATCAGAACCAACGTTGGTAGTAAGCAGTAGATAAAGCAGAACGCTGTCGACCGCCAGCGCGAGTTCTAATTGGCTGCTAATTTTCTGCTTTCCGTTTTTCTGTTCGATGTGTGAATGCTCCTTAAGCTTGTTTAAAGCAACAGCGGTAAGTTCGTTCTTTTTAGCTGCGCAACATTGCATCCTTGCACTTAAAATAAAAAACGCGTATATATATACCAAGTTGATTAAGTCTTAGAATGAAAAAAAAAATTTTGTTAGCAAAACTCAATTTTATTCTTCAACATAATCTCCTTTTAACTCAATACACCGAGCCCAACGAGTTTCCAGCTTCTTCCAGCCTTCCAAATAATAAGAATTTTTTCATTTGAAGCAAATCTCTTTCCCTGGAGCCATCTTTTGAGATTTGGAAAGAGGTAGAAGTCACACGGGGCCAGATCTGGAGAATACGGTGGATGTGGGAGCAATTCATATCTCAATTCGTTCAATTTTGCCATTGCTTTTACCGATTTGTGAGCTGGTGCATTGTCTTGATGAAGGAGAATTTTTTTTCTTCGCTAAATGAGGCCGTTTTTTTCTTGATTTCATCATTCATTCGGTCCAATGATGCATAATATTCTCCTGTGATTGTTCTTCCTTTTTCAAGATATTCGATGAAGATTATTCCATGTGCATCCCAAAACACAGTGGCCAGAACTTTTCTAGCCGATTGTTTTTGATCGCTTTGGAGCACTTTCACCCTTTGTAACTCATTGTGCCGGCTGTTCCGATTAAGGCGCATAATGGTGGATTCCTGTTTCATCAACGGTTATGTATCGACACAGAAATCCCTTTGATTTGCGTCTAAACATGTCCAAACAATGCTGAGAAATGCGAACTCGTTCACGTTTTTGATCGATTGTTAGCAATCGTGGCACCCATCTTGCAGCTAGCTTTCTCATACCCAAATGTCCGTATAGGATATTGGACACACGTTCAGATGAGATGCTCACAGTCGCAGCTAGTTAACGCAATTTTATTTTGGAGCCATCCAACTCGATATCATGGATTTTTTCACTCATTTCTGTTGTGGTCATCTCATTTCGACGACCATTGCGTCCGATGTGCTGGTACGACCACGTTTAAACTCAGCAATCCAGTTACATACGGTTGCATTCGACGGAGTAGACTCCCCCAAAGTTTTTTGAAAGTCCTCAATCATTTCTTGCGGTTGCAAGCCTTTCAAATAAAAATACTTAATCACTGCACGAATTTCAGTTTTTTCCATTTTTACAAAATATCGGAGGTTATGTGCTTTCGGTAGCTGTCATATACTGATTACAACTGTGTAGTGAGAGGTTTGAAGGTTGGCACTACTGGAAATTCACGGTGCTTTGAAGGTGGCAACACTACTAATGTGTCATTCTAAAGCTTATCAATCAACCTGGTATATATATATATATATATATATATATATATATATCACATATAATATATGTACGTATTTGGTGCAAAAGGAAAATAGAAAACCGAAATCATGCACAACACAAAGTTATTATGATATTCCTTGTATTACATGGACAGCACATTACAAATTTGTTTAGACAAATCTTTTATAGATTATGATTTTAGTCCAAATCGAAGTTCCCGATTTCGATTAGAATCTGTTTCCGAATTAACAGATACGCAGATAATTTCATGCAGGAAACCCAACGACTAAACATTGATTTATGCTCTCTGGGCAAGTATCAAATTATCGCATCTCGCAGTCACCAGAAAAGAAAACGGAAATAGTTTTCGATTTTCAAAATTTCACTTGAGATTATACTTCGACAAATGTTAGAAGATCGTTTAAATAACTATGGGTAATTTCTTGCTTAGAGGTTCGTTTCTAGTTTTGTAAGTGCTGGCTATTTGCAATTTTAATAGAATTATTTTTACATACTTTCTCTTATTTTCGAGACTTCGAAATTGCCACGAATTATATGGATTTTATTCGCATATATAATAAAACATCATCGCATACTGTCACGAAGGTTAACGGAAAAACAATATAAATTGATAATTATATTTGAATATTTACGCGAATGCGCGAAATGACGCTACTCTCTCTCTCTCTTTCTATACCCCTCCACCTTTACTTCTCCCTACTATCAGAAACTCAATGTAGAGCGAAGAGTAGTCACATCACTTTACCGCCATTGTATATTTACGATTTTTACGAAATTGTTACACAAGTGCTCGGATTCCTTCCAGGCCGTCTAAATAAGCGACAAGATATGGCGAGCCCGGTCATAATTTCAGCCACGGCGAAACACACAGCTACGGTAGATACTAGTTCTTTAAGATCAAAGCCTTTTTTTTGGTTATACCTCTGCGGTGATTCTAATTGATGATAAGTGGATTATTTTTGCGATAACGTTCCCGTTGCCCTGCCTTCTTTGCCGTACGATTATTTCGCTCTGGTGATAGGCTCCGCTCTAATTGCTCCAACGTTCGCATAAATTTATCGCCGAATGACATTTGATCTGCCGACAGTAACTCGCGCCTTCCTGTAGAATAGCGGAATTATGTTATTACAGCAAAAAGAAAAAAATTATCTCCCCTGTACTAGAACACGTCATCATATTTTCTATATTGCGTTCTATTTCTACCGTCTGAGATTACTTTCTGCGATGTATGTTTGTCGGTGAAAATCGTGCCTCAAAATTTGAAGGATGTCAAATGAGACATATTTTTTTCCAAAATTTCTGAAAGAAACCGATGCATATTTTATCTCACTCTGCATGAAGATATATTTGTGTTTCAGATAATATTTTTCCACGGCTTAGGCGATACAGGGTAAGCTTTCGTTTGTGATATATGAGTGTAACTATACATATAACGTATCGGTAGAATATTAGTTTAATATTGTTTCGCTCTGATTATTTTCAGACATGGCTGGGCTAGTTCCATGGCTGCTGTGCGGTCTTCACACATTAAAGTTATTTGTCCTACTGCGTATGTGATTGTTAATATCTTTTAACATTTTAATTGTGAACTATGTATTAATATAACTATCGATAATATCTCAATGTAACTTTTTAATCATTTTAGACCTACAATGCCGGTGACACTTAATGCAGGGTTTCGAATGCCTTCCTGGTAAGTTTAAGAATAAAAGTATAAGGATCTTAAATTCTAAGTGAAAACAATAAACAGCAACAATAAACATCTTGGGAGAAAAGAGAATATCTGTAACAAAATGAATAGAATAGACATTGGTTCTTTTCCTCTCCACAAGATAAAAAATTACAAATCAATATTTACATGATTACTGTGTATGACATATTCCATGTATGTGCAGGTTCGATCTACGATCTCTGGACTCCACCGGCCCAGAAGATGAAGAAGGTATACGTAGAGCTGCCGCAATGGTACACTCATTAATAGCGGAGGAAGTCGCAGCAGGGATACCTACAAAACGCATTGTTCTCGGTGGATTTAGTCAAGGTGGAGCGCTAGCTATGTTCAGTTCCCTTACATTCCCAGAGCCTATAGCTGGTATCATAGCTATGTCTTCATGGCTTCCGTTACATAATAAATTTCCAGCGGTAGGTACATTATCATATTTTATGCGTGTATGCGTATACATGAGGCAATAACTATTACCACTTTGAACATCATCGGAACTACGAGAATAAGAGAAAAATTTATGAAACAGAAATCATATGATGCAAAAGCAATTTATAGTGGTGACTTATAGTGGTGACGCTTTTTTTCTTAAGTGTAGTAGCTTCGAAGATCTGAAAGTCATCTTTTTTAAATGGAATCAGTTTTCTTAAACAAATTGATTTCTCTGTTCATTCTACATATAAAAGTATTAGGACAGTGTTGCCATTCAATCACTTAAATCATCTTTTGTCGTTTTCTTTTCGACTGAAAAATTGTCACTAAAAAAATATCACTAAAAAATCCACTTTTACCCAAACTGAGTTAGTATAGTCACTTTTTTCCTGAGCTGCTGTTAAATTTATAAAATATAGATATTCTATATATATATATATATATATATTTTTTTTTTGCCGTCTTGTCTGTTGCCGATTGTTCCGAAAGCAATACTTGTACTACATCGTTCATGCCTTTAGTCTTCCTTGTTATGAACTTTCAAATTGAAAGAAAATAACTGTGGAAATAACATGTTATATGTTAAATTATCCAAAGATAAACTTGAGACGAGTATTACTTTTTTGTTCAAAGCCTTAGTTATTCTCAGAATTTGATGAAAAATGTCACTTTTGGTCTCTATTTTGATGTCTAAGAGGTTACTTTTTGTCATCTATTCTGCTAAGAAGCAGTCACTATTTCACCTTTTTTGTACAGGTGACTAGATGGCAGTCTTGGATAAGATCGTCGAAAAGTGAATATTTTTCGAGATATTTTTCTTTTCCTCCTGATACTTTTCAGTACAAGAGAGATATGAAATATTTCATAAAGTATATTCACTTTTCGATAACATCACCTTAACACTTTTGTACATGATAATATGAGAGAAGTCGATTACTGATATTAATCGTTGCACATTAGTGCATTGATGCATTTGCAAAGTGCAACGAATTTTTGTTTAGGTTTCCTCTATATTCGCTTACAGCAATTGACCTCCCCTGTCATTCTACGTGCATAAATGTTAGATACATTTTTCTCACTCTCATAATTTCAAAGATATTCAGGGTAATAGGTATTGCTTCATCCTGTAACATTCGTGGAAATTGTGTTGATATTGAATCATCTTTTCTTAGGAAGCGATAGGCAATAAGGATACACCGTTGCTACAGTGTCACGGCAATTGCGATCCAATCGTGCCGTACAGGTGGGGTCAAATGACAGCATCTCTTCTAAAACAATTCATGACGCAGGCAGAATTTAAGACTTACAATGGCATGATGCATACGTCTTGTGAGGAGGTGAGTCGTCGATGAAGAATAACCTGTTGCACATCCATTAATCTTTTCAATAAGCAACAATTTCCGTCTGATCTCTTTGTAATAATCTCTGTTACCTTCGCAGGAGATGCACGACGTGAAGAGATTTATCGAGAAGGTCCTGAAGCCGTAATGAATCGAATTAAAGTCGCGCGTCGATCACTTCAATGATTACTCTGAGCGTTTATTAATATGTACATTAACGAGATGATTCCAATTTTTGCGATTATTTAATTATAGCGACGTGAACTTTTAAAGGCGTTAAGTAGAAAAGAAAAATCGTTAAAATCTTCCGAGACGAGATGCAGTGCTAGAGAGTATACTTTTTAGAAAGGTCTATTTATTTACCAGCTTTATGATTTATCTTTCTTGTACCTACATATCTTTCCAAACCTTTCAATACTTCGATGTACCAAAGTATTCGCGTAGCAATACGAATTAATCTTACGGTTCGCAGTCCTTTTCGTACGCCTGTGTAATTTATCGGTATTCCTTTTTCATTTTGGTATTTATGGTATCTATTATGGCGTCACATGTGACATATGCCGCAGTACAAGAATACGAGCACTATATTTATTTATAAGGCTCTCGCACGCTAACATGTAAATTCATAATAATGTGCGAATAATTTTTTTTCACATTATTCTCCAAGATCATCACGATGATAATAAATTTATAAGTGTAATTTGTGTTAAACATAAGATGTACTGTTAAGTGAAATTTCCGTTCTTTTTGTATTGCAAATCTTATTCGAAAGCAAACTGAGTTCGCATGAAGAATTGAATTACAAATTATATTCTACTGCGAGCATTTAAATATCCGATTGTATATTATTTATATTTCAATATGAGGCTTACGTAACGCGTAAAATACTGCTGCTGATAACTTTTGTAGCGAGTATTGTCTAGTGGACAGTAACACGGCCATGTAATCTATGATTACGCATTATATCGTCGAGACCCACCAAAATATTGTTTATATTCAACATAACTGGTAGATCAGGGTTTCCTAAACCACACATCGTTCGCAAGTCCTCTGAAAAAGACACACGGATTCTCAAGGAACACACTACTATATTTGCACAGCTTCCTTAGAGTCACGTATAAAGCGAGATATAATTTTTCACGGGAATAGTATTGATTATAAAGAATACACAGAAGATACGTTCTGTCAAGAAATTGCTATTAGAGAAGTCGGTTTTTGTCAATCTTAAGTTTGGGGAATCCTGTGATGCATATTCATTATAAAAAGTACACCAGATATGGTATTAATACATTGTACAAGTACGTTAATGTATATAAAAGAAAATAATGACTTTGCTGATTTTCTTATCGGTACTAACCATTATTTAGTAGACAAATAAATGAAGAACAATAAGCTCAAAATATTTTCCGCGCGCTTGCTTTGAGTGTTTACCTATTCACTTCCTATGTAAAAACGGAATATTACCAAGTCGTTTTTGTTACCTACACAAATCATTTACGTAAGTGAGAGATGCGTATACGTTTTTAGTATTATTTTAACGATCTCTTCTCCATTATGCGTATAACTTGCATTACGTGAAGAACATAAGTAGCAGAAGACAAAACATGTAATCCATAAATGTTCAAGTTTTCTCTGAGCTTAGTTTTTAAATTTAATTCAAATTTAAAGCAATGAATCACAAGGGAATATCGTACTCGAAAATATTTCCAGCAAAATACTGACTTCTCTCTGCAAAATTCACGTCCTTTTTTTTTGGCTGTATGTACACTATTACAAATACTTTTATACGGTGAAAGTGTATGCGAAAATAAATTGAAATATTGCTCAATGTGTGACGAAAACGATTAAAAATTTCAAAACTGATTCTATCTCTAATCATCAGCGTAAATATTTGCCTGGTATAAAAGTCCTATAGTTTTTATATACCGTTTTTATGTATCGAATATATCGATATTCTAATAAGGAAAATTTTTTTTATAATAAAGAATATTTTTATACTTTTTCAATTAAATTTGATGAAAAATTAAGATACAAAAAATTACAGAATTTTATATATCTTAGATCTTCCGTTAAATATGATGAAACAGTAACGCATATTTATTATATTTATTTTGCTTTAATACATTTACGTAAGATTTATACATTACGTAATATCTATAATACTTTAAGAAAGCCTTTATCATTTTAAGAAAGTCTTTATCAACATTTATCAAATTCAGGCCCCAGCAAAATGGTTGACATATAATTTTAATATTATATATAATATAATTTTAATGTTTTATACCCTAAATCTTTATTCATCATTTATTAATTTTTTTCATTATACAACGGTTTGTCATCAATCATAAAAAGAACGGATTTTTAGCTAAATACTTAAGACACAAGATAGTCACATTATGCATTTCAAACATTAAAACGATATATCTTGTGACCCGGGCCCCGTCGGTCGGTGGACGTTCGTCCCGCCCCGGCCGGTGGGGTGGTCGTTTCGGTTCTCCGGATGACCGTGTTCGGTAGCGATGTTTGCCCTGGCGTAGCTCGCCGGATTTCCAGGCGTTCTTAGATGTGCGAGTGTCGGTACAGGAGCGAGTGAGCGAGTAAGTGAGTACGCGACTGTCTGGCAGAATAATGTTTATTAAATTATCTTCCGCGGCTGGTTACATGATGTTCTGACGGGCCGTGCTTTAATCTCGGTGTTTCACACCAGTAATATTTGGATGACAATATTGGCGACGGAATCCCGTGTTGACGTGGTGACGTCGGCCCGTTGTTTTCGTTTCCCGGAACTTAGCGGGAACGGCCGTGACGCTCGGCCCGTGGAGCTCGCGGTGCCAGCGGTGAACGGTCTGTTGACGGTTCGCGGCGTTTAAATTTGACGGTTTTGCATCGGAGCGCAAGACGGCGGAATGCACCTGTTCCACTCGGCGTCACGGTACGCGGGTCGCGGTNCCCGGAGCGGAGGGCACGCGGTATCGTGCCTCCTTACAGGAACGGTGGAGTCGGCCGGGCGAGCCTGGCCACGTGCAGCCGGCGGCGGTCGGTGGTACCTCCGGTGAGGTGCGGCGGAGAGACACGCGTTGTCTCTAATTACACGGCGCGGTACGCGGAACGGTATTCCGGGGCGTTCGCATGCCCCGGAGACGCAGAGCCCCAATGGCTAGAGTGGAGGGGCCGAGGTTGAGAACACTCAACAGAGGCGGCGAACACACCACCCCGACTCGTGCCGATCCCCAGGTCTGCCACGGGCAAGAGGGCCGGGAGCTCCCGGTGGAGACGGCGAACACACCGTCCCGAATTGGATGTTGTTGTGAATCCGGTGCCCGCGACTTCCACGGGAGAGGCCGCGTACGCACGACCTCAGACTTTCCGGATGACAGGATGTTGAGTCGGCTGCGAACTCACAGCAGCGACGGCGCACGCACCGTCGCGGTCCCTCGACCTGGGGATGGGATCCGGAGCAGCTTGTGATCTTGCGATCTCGGCTGACTCCGACGGAGTCTGGTCCCGATAGCACGTCGGCGCGGTCTTTTATACCGCGTTTTCGCAGTTTTTCCGACACGTGCTCGATAACAACACAAACGTTGTTGCTTACGTGTGCACGTGTCGGTCGCGTGCTTCGCGCGTGTATTGTTTATGTGGCGCTACGCGCCGTTTGACGGCCGGCCGTGGTGTTCGCCGGGGGGAATGCATCATTACAATCTTAAAACGATAATTCAGCCATTTTGCCAACGTCTTTAACCTACCTTAATCTACCAAGTTTAGCATGTAGTGGGAATTGGAAGTAGAAGTGTGTATGTGAAATAATATATAAACAGTAGAAATAAACAGTGACTAGTAGTCAGTAGCAGGGAGCTGCAGTAAGAAGAAGGTTATAAACTCGATGAGCCATATACGGAATTCATATACAGGATTTTAAACTGCTCAAAAAAACTTGTCAGAATGGCAGATGGAAGTTCGACGATTCTGAGTACCTTGGAAAATCAAATTCAAAAAGTGGTGATCAACAGACCTACCAAGAATAATGCACTATCATTATCGGTAAATAATTCACGAATATCGTAAAAAAATTCGAAATCTACCGAATATATAGATATGAATAGATTAAATAGGATATACACATTATACTTTATATTGATAATCAGTTTCTTATAGATGTACAAGGAACTAACAATGCTTTTAAATGAATCCGGTAAAAATAACAAAGTGTTGATGTTTGTACTGACAGCAACTGGAAACTTCTTCAGCAGTGGCAATGATATAGATATAACATCGATGGAGTTTTCTCATGATAATCTACAGAATGCAAATTTAACATTTAAGTAAGTTCCGTAAAAATACATTGTAACATACGAGAAACATAAAATAGTATAATTACACATATATTTGTCATACACCTATACCTATGCATATAAATAATAGTACAATCATATTCTTATATAGAAATATACATTAAGTGTTTCTCATATTATATCGTATAAAATTCATATTTTTCCATGTTGAATTAAAATTTACAAAATTTTTGTGCAGAGAATTTGTCGACGCTCTGATTATGTATCCAAAACTATTGGTGGCTATTGTGAACGGACCAGCAATAGGAATAGCTTGCACAATGTTAGGCTTGTTTGACATGGTTTATGCTTCAGATAAGGTATTTATCAAACGATTTGTATTATGAACAATATTAAAACAATAAGTGCATTAATGATGTAATGTAAATTATTATACAATTTGCAGGCATATTTTCGCACACCATTTAGTTCCTTGGGTCTTATTGCTGAAGGATGTTCTACGTATACATTCCCCAGATTACTAGGATCTTCCAAGGTATCGCTTATATTTTGTATCGGAAACTGTATCCTTTATGATAATACTGGACTTAAGATCTTAATACTAAACTGTAAAAAATCTGTAGGCCGGAGATATGCTATATATGGGCTACAAAATGAGTGCTCATGAAGCCAAGCAATATGGTTTAGTCAGCGAAGTGTACAATCACAATGTCCTTGAGGTGTGGGATTATCTGAACCAAGTTTCCAAACTTTCCTCAGAGGTAGTATTCTTTCTTAATATTTCTCGATTTTTTTTATCGACACATTTGCATCGCTAAGTTGATAATGACATCATCGATTTATTTCAGTCAATAATGGCCACAAAAGGCTTGGTAGTCAAGTGGAAGAGAGAGACTTTGCTAGAAGTTAATGCAGAAGAAACAAAAGAATTGCTAAAACGATGGGAGTCTCCTGATTTACTTGAGAGATTCCTTACTTTTTTAACGCGGAAAAACAAGCTTTAGTGTAATACTTGAAAACAAAATTTTTTCAAGTTTTATACACATCTTGTGACCTTTTTGTTTGATGAACCAAGGATAAATATTGTGAATATTAGGGAAAATATATGTAACGCGAACGTTTTAAAGGAGTAAGAATATAAGGTGTGTGGATATAATCATATATATATGTATATATGATTATGATTTTTATATAAATTTTTACTTAAATGTTTGTTACCTTGTGGAATTTTTAAGTATAAAAGTTATGTGATCGCAAACTTCAGTTAACAAAATGGCCTGTAAAAAATAAAATTTTACGTAAAATATGGATTTCGGAATTAACTTCTTTATAACCACTTTTCGAAAAGACTTGTTACCTGTGTGATGTCGGGTGGAATCGGCTGCTTGTAATGCTGCCAATCTAGCAATTGATTTATAGTCAAGTTTTGCTGAGATGGTTTATCCTGCAGTACAAACTGGCAATCGCGCGTCTCATTACTGTCCGTCTTAGACCTCTCAGAAGATATATGCTCGTTGTTCTTGCCGGAGCAAGAGCAATCCATTAAATCATGCGTTAAAGAAGCCGTGTCGGTTGTTAGTGTGAACAAATCCTAAAACATGGAGGACACTTAACACTTTGCGCTCGAGAGGTGCCTCTCAGGCACCACTCGGATCGAGGCGGCAAATCGAGCGATAACGGTGTTTATTTAGATTTGGCCCAACGAATATCGCTTCACGAGTCTACTCCTAGCCCTTTGTGTGTAACCTTATGAGGTAATGGCTACAGAGATGTTTTATCTCATCAAAAACGCTCGCGACCGCGTTTAACAAATGTCTTTCTTTGAACTGTGAAGATATGTAAAATGTGAAAATATACAAGTTTAAAGTGTTATATTGTGTCAGAAATCATTTTAAGTTAACTGTAAAAAACTTATGAAATAAGCGGGAGCAGCTAATTCCTCTCGAGTTGCTGTTCGCTCGAGCGCAAAGGGTTAATCACGGTTTTTCTTATAACAAACAGCATATCCTTCCCTGAAGGAGAAAGTACCTTCAGTTCCTCAGTGGATAACTTCAAAGATCCAAGATGGTTCGGATCCACCACAGATTCACTCAGGCCAGCTTTGCTGATTTGTCTTTGGTAAATCTTTTCTTCTATCGTACCTGTCGTTAGCAATCTGCAAATGTAATTATATAAAGCTACATATTTCCATATGTTACAATGTGTTATATGTATCGTAGAGCGCAACAGTATCGAGTTTATGCGCAAACCTGTAAATATAAACGTCTCTCTTCTGCCCATCTCTCCAGATTCTTGCCATAGCCTGCACGTCGGACGCGGGATTCCAGTCGGAATCGAATAACACAAGCCTAGAGGCCCCCGGCAAGTTTAGGCCAACCCCGCCTGCCTTCGCGCTTAGCAGGAAGACTTCTGTAATTGATATAATGTCGCGATGTATTCATCTCCATTCCGTTTCGTGCTTCAACAGTACTTACTGCTGTCATCGGCTTTCGTGTTGAATTGTTCGATAATTTTCGGCCGTGCGGCGGTCGAAGTGGTACCGTCCAGTCTCAAGTACTTCAGACCTTCCTTACTGCACACAGTCTTAAGGAGATCGAGCGTTTGCGTGTAATAGGAAACCAGAACCAACTTCTCGTCGGTCTTCTTCAAGTTCCTCATCAGCGTCTGTACTATTGTGATCTTGCCGCAGTACCTGGTGAAATTCTCGTCCTGGCTCGTTTGCGTTATCGCCTTCTTCGAGAACGCATCGTGCAGCACGCTCTCTCTATCGCTCGTGAAGAACAGATTCGGATGATTGCAGATCTTCTTAAGCGCCGTGATGACAGTTAAGTGCGTGACGCTTTTGTCCTGTGTGAAGATTCTGTCGAACCAGGCGCCGGTGACGAAGGAGTACAGCTCTTCCTGTTCGCTGGACAGAGAGCAAAACAATACCACCTCGTGTTTACACGGCAGATACTTGTTTATCGTCTCCTGCGTACGCCTCAGGATGAAACGTTTGGTGCGCTCGTGTAGTTCCGTCGCCCTCTCGTTTCCCAGACTGAGCACGTAATCGGACGCACGAGGACACTGAGAAGCGACAATGGGATCCTCGTAATAACTTCTGTACTCGCTCGGAGTGCCGAGGATGCCGGGATTGACGAAGTCGACCAGCGCGTAAAATTCCCTCAGATCGTTTTGTATGGGAGTGCCGGTCAGGATAACTCGCTTTTTGCAGTCGATCTCGTATAATAACTACAAAATGATAAGATGGTGGGATAATCGATAGGATTGGTAAGTTAGTTGATAGCGATAAACTCAGTGATAAACAAGGTAGGATTGGTAAGTTACTTTGGACGCTTTTATATTGCTATTCTTCAATCTGTGGCCTTCGTCACACACGACCAAGTCGAAGACAATCTCGCTGACTTCTGCATGACATCTAATGAACATCTCGTAGCTGATAATCATCACCGAATTTCTCGGCTGCTTGATGAAGTCTTTAGGCTTGTTCTTTCCGTCCACAACGTACGGGGATATTCTGTGACAGCCCAACCACTTCGTGAACTCCTTCTTCCAATTGTCGCACAAGCTACTAGGTGTTAGTATCAACGCACGCCTCACAACTGGCCTGCCATATGGGCCCTTCTTCAACAACGTCCATATTAGCGTGATGCACTGTAACGTTTTGCCGAGACCCATCTCGTCAGCCAGAATTGCACCAAAACAGTCCGGTACTTTCACGCCCATTAAACATTCGTAAAGGAAGACAATGCCGTGCCGTTGGTGTTCCCTGAGAGTTCCTGCTAAACAGGAGTCAACCGACACTTCCTGCTCTTTCTCCGAATCCTCGTGGCTTACCCATATAGCAGAAGGATTCATGTACGGCATTACCAAAGGTTTGCAACTCAACGCCAATCCTTCAACGCAAATTTTTCCCTCATTCAATAACTTCAATGTTAGATGACATTTATTTCTGACTTCATTATAAACTTGTAGAACCTTTCGTGGATGACAACGGTGACGCAAATGTATACACGGGGGATGCTTTAAATCTTTTCAGCGATGGCTGTTCTGCTGTTTCCTCCGAATGCTCCTTCGACATGGACGGTTCTCCAGATGCCCGATCTATTATCTAAAATTGACTCTGTCAGATTCTCTTGTACACAAAATACTACGTACAAAATAAACGTGTTGGCAAAACTTCTTACTTCAATTTCTTTACTCGCTATAAACAGTCTGAAACCTTCCACTGCACTGCTCGGATTGATGGTGGTTCTTCCAATAACATTACCGTCCAAATCCTAATATAACAGAAAATATAAAAGCAACCTTTTCATTTAAGAACTCACAGATAATATGATCATCACCTTGAGTACCGCGCTTTTCCCAGCTACTTCCAGCAACCCATCGCCATCCCACTTCTTGTGTTTCTTTGAAGAGATCTTGCCATATACCACATTAAAGACGCTAAAAGGAAAATCAACGGTCACTTAACTATAATTTACAAGTAACCTATTTTCTCCTTATAATGTTCACTTTGAAAATACTTAATTACTTACACTTTCGATCCCGATGCAACAGTTGACGTTTTCTTCTCACCGACCGGATCGCTAATATCTTTTTTATTCGACGCGTCATTTTTTGCCTCGATGTTATGATCACTGTCATCATTTTCCTGAATCGCTCTCTTGAACAGGCTCAAAATCTGCGAGGTACTTCTGAAAGGCTTCTTGGCGGAGTCGTTTGCTGCTTTTTGCTGGTTCGTCACTACATCGTTAGCTTTCTCGGCGTTCGTCGGTGGTAGAGCTGTCAGAGGGGACTTGAATCCCTTCACGGGTTTATTCCGGTACATGGATCGACCGAGATCGACAATATTGACAATCCGCAGTGATCAACGATCGGCGATAGCCAGAGTCGTCTGAAGGCGGGAAACGGAATGATCGAATCGAACCAACGATAATGGCAAGCCAGCAAATCAGAAGGTACGTTTGCTTCCAACTGCACTTTCTACACTCGAAACGAAACAGATGCATATATATGGAGTCAAGAGGGAAAGAGAATTGCAAAGAGTTGCGTGAAGTGCAGCTAAGAGGCGCAGAGATCAGGGGATCACGAGAGACCTGAAGTCGCCGAGGATCGTATCGAGATAGCGCGATATCTCGCCGGAGGACGGCGTCATAGGTGCGTTTGGTCTACGGTCGGTCGGGTAGCCTCGAAATCGTGCGAAACTATTGGATAGAGAGCGAGCGATTGGTCGTGCAGCGATCAAGGAGGGTAAAAATGCAGGTTGAAATTTAAGAAGAGAGCGACGGCGACAGTCATGCACAGGAGCGGCGACGCTACCACGTGAGGTTAGTAGCGATTGGCCTCGGCACGGCTGGTGCAATCAGCCGACCCGCCCGAACCTCGGCACGGTTCTAACGTTGTTTGTTATTCTCTCCTCCCTCGAAAGATCCTGTCATAGATGAGATATCTGTCCGACGTGAGAGACGTCGCGAGTGCACCGCTCCGACCGCACCGGCCCGCGAGAAAGGATGTACTGCCTACAGTGGCTGATCCCGGTGCTGCTGATACCGAAACCCGTGAACCCGGCGCTCCTGCAGACCCACGTCATGTTCATGGCGCTCTACCTGATCGGCTTCTTCCTGGAGCGCAAGCCCTGCACCATCTGCAGCCTGGTGTTCCTCGCTGCTGTCTTCCTAATTTGCTACAGCGGCAGCGGCAACTGCCTGCTGTGGAGCACAAATTGCGATACAGTAAGATGCGACAACGGTTAAGGTTGTCGCGCCGCGTTCCCACAAGATCCGACAATTGTCCTCCCCTCCCTGTTGTTGTTGATTTCCTCATGTCGTCCTTCCCATCCTGTTTTCGACCGAACGCTTGAAAGTAGCCCTTCGACTCGCGCTGTTCGCGATGCGATCGCGTAGATAGCACCATCATTTATCTAGGTTTAAGAGACAGGTTGATTCGAGAAGCCCGGGGACGATCTATCCGCGAAAATTGTTGGTGTCATGTTAGACAGTTACATATCGACTATATATATAGACTCTGAATTATAGAAATCCTAAGTAAGGAATTTGTAATGACATACATTCGACGATATTCGCGCATAGATCTTAGAATCCCGGTTGCGTGCATCAGCATTGGCGAGATCTCAAGGATCCGGGGTGACCGGAGGTTCTCTACTTGCTACACGAATCGCGAGAAAAATTAGCTGACGACGTATTCCTTTTATACTTGCATCTCGACTTTTCAACGGATTCCTTGCAATGTCTTCTATATGATATTGGTAGCGTTGTGATATAAGAAATTATTTTTCTGAATCATTGATTCTTCCTAGTGCGGTGTACTCTGAGCAGCGTATCCGTAATTATACGAAGCAACGATTTGTCTTGTTAAACCGCTCGTTTCGGAATACGATACCGAAAAATCGTGAAAATTGTAGACACTACCTGTTGATTAAACCTGAGAATACCTTAGACGAATTATTTATATGCGCGATGACATACGCGAAGAGAGAAATGTGGAGTAAGTTATGCGATCAACCGCCTTCTCGAGAATATATATAAAGATAAGGCCTTTTAAAAAGAGTGATCGCTGTGTAAATAGGCTGAAATTTCTGAAGCAATCTGTGAAATTCGATCTAATTAGGATAGCACCGTAATCATGAGATGGATTTTGCTCGTACCGCCGGCTTTGTATCACCAGAAACGTGAATGATATTTATTTTAATCCCCATATGTATTCTCTCTTCAGAAAAGAAAAGGAGATTAAAATGACGCAAGTTTTGTGCTATAATTTTTAACTTGCAGTTTATATATATATCTATATATAAACTGCACTAGTATTTATGCACTAGTATTTATATATATATATATATATATATAAACTGCAAGTATACTGCACATATACATATATATAATATATATATATATAAATAAATACTAGTGTAATATCTATTCAATGTAATGTTATCGATGTAAATACTGATAGTCATGGTAACCAAAAAATAATGTTGAGATACGGATAGCTTACAAATGCGAGTGCAAAAATCTTAATTAAAAACCGAGTTAGTAAATCTCATATATATAGTGTATAAACGATGGTCAATTATCTTCCTATGTCTATTGCATAAATTTGCATCTTAATGTCTTGACATAAAATGCAAGGAATTTTGTGCTTACGATTGCGGCTTGTGATTATGCTTATAATTATGGTAATTAAGTATCTTGTTATTTGGATTGTAGCGTAAGCCGCACAGCTGATGAGAACTCTGTCAGCCGCATAAGAATTGTCTATCTTCTTACCGTGTAAGCACAAGAATATAGGAAAATCTGTGATTTCGTTTGCAAATTTTCAGTCTGTTGAATTGCAATGAATTTAGGCAGTAGTCGAATAGGTAGGTCTAATTTCCAAAGGCGAGTATGCTTGAAGTGTAATGTCACTATAATAATCCGTAATTTTTGCTTCCAACTTTGTAAAATGACATGTGATTTGAAAAACTACAACTTTATAATCTCAAGAAATAAACAGTCTTGAAGAAACTTAATTCGGCCCTCAATTAACTTCCCCTACAATATTGTATGCCTCAAATAATTAATTAAACAATAAAAAACTTGAATAAGTAATATAAAATATTTCGCATTTGATATTTGACATATTATCAATATATGTAGAATTAAATCCGCATTCTTTCATTGTCGTTTCTTCTTGTACTGTTTGGATTTATTTCTAGACTCAAAATTATTGGCTTGAAGTTAATAAATCAATTTAACTATGTGTTATCACCATTAAAATTATTACGTACTATATCTTGTAGTAAAAATTTATATATTACTTATAGAACTTAAGTATCATTTATAGAACCATTAACTGGGTGCCAAAAAGTGAAAAAAAACATTACGTTTTATGTGTAGTATTTATTTTACATTAAAAAAATTACTGTAGAGCTTTGCCACGACCAAAACCACCACGGAATTCCAGATCTCCGGTACCTGCCCCGACATCAGCCTTCTTGTCGCCAGCACCTGGGGCACCACCTGGGCCGCGCCTGTATCCAGCGCGATCTTCTGTCGGCCTCGAGCCTTCACTCCTCGTCGCCGCGGGTCTTGGTCTCGTGGTTTCGGACCTCGGTTGCTTTTTGAGGGTCGACGGTACTATTTCAGGTGGCAAATGCAAGTATCCACGCAAGAACTCAATACCATCATTCGTGAGGTACCAGTAAAAGTGCCTCCATGCAAACTGTTCTTTTACATAACCTCGTGATTTTAACGACTGAAAGGATAATCATACATGAGAAACATAATTAAACACACACACACACACACACACAATACTACATCAATTTTAAATCTAATTATATTATATATATATATACTACATATATATATATATATATAGTATAATTAGATTTAAAATTGATGTAGTTGAAGAAAATGTGCATACTTTACAATGTAATAATCTCATAAGTACTAATCAAGAGTAATAATACATCAATGTTATACATCTCATTTAACAATGTAAGTGCAATATAACACGCATTATATATAACATTGCGTTGTATAATTACATTATTAAGTAGAAAATTATAACATTGTGTATAGGTGTGTGTGTGTGCTGTAATATTACTGTTAATTAGTGTTTACTAGGAAGAAGTTATTTTGTGTTTCGTCAAGGAAAAAATTGAACTTTACCTGCATAGCCTTAATAACTTGAAGGTTTGGAATTGTTTCCAATTCCGGATGTTTTGGTGCATGGTAGTCTTTCTTTGCTACCATAACACCCTCCTTGAAAAGGTACTCGTAAATGGACACACGATTCTTTTTTGGCATCAACATTCTGTAATAAAAATCACTTAATAATAGATATCATTTATGGGTGTTATACAGAATACATTAACAAATTAACAAGCAGAAAACAAAGGTTTGTCAAATAGTTTTCCCAATTCTATTTTCTTTGAAGATTGTACTACAAAATTCATTGTCAGTGAAATGAAAATTTATAATTTATGTTATGTATACTTTAGCTTCTTCACCACTGGCAGTGAATATTGGATAAACAGCCGAAATATTCTATGAAATAACAGAACAATTGATTCACAATGCATGTTTATTTTAATCTGTGAGTGGATGCATGACTTTTTTGAGGAATAAAACCGCTGTTTATAGCTGATTTTCTCGATTATTACTGACACTATTTTGCTAAATCCATGAGTGGTGAAGGCAAGTTACCAAAAGTGTCAATGTGTGGACAAAAACGAAAAGGAGAAATCGTTTATTCATGCATTTGTGGGTGAGTTTAACTTCCACGAGCATAACCTCCACTCGCATGGACAGGTTAAGTTCTACCACTGCTATTTGGATGCAACACAATCATCATATGAAAGAAAATCTACTGTAATATTTCAAAGTTATATTTCGTAAAGTCACAACTGTAAATTATAGATAAATAGATATTTACTAAATAGATATAACTTATTGTTAATGTCGTGTATACGAGCGAGTTTGTGGTATATTAACAAGGACACAACGTACAATATGTGAAAATATCGAATATGACAAACTATGATCAATTTTTGAGAGATTTAGGATCTGAACAAACCTTTCGTTTTTTTCGTAACTTTCACAAATAAATAGGATTAAAACAGATATTATTGGATGGGCAACGCACTTGAACCTTCTATCGAATGCCTTTCAACGAAAATGGACAACCTCAAGTTAACGCAAGAAACTCGTGGCAGCAGTGTTGTTGATGAGCCTCCATTTTGCGCGTGCGCAATGCACGTTCCAAAAAAATACAGGGTGCGATTCACTAAACGTTGCAAACGCTTTGAAGTGCCCAAAAAGAGCCGTGATTCTGCTTCAAAGTATTTGCAGCGTCTAATGAATCGCATCTTAAGCAGAAAATGAAACAAACTGAATACAAAAAACACGCGGCAAAAGGGATACGGTAGCCAATCAATATGCAGTTTTCCTATAAGAACTAAAAGTTTATTTAGCTAGAAGCCCGATCTTCGCTAATTAGTGCTTAATAGTTTTTATGTATATACACAAATAATACATAAAATACGTCAAATATTATATGAAACACACGCACGCATGCAATATTTATTTTAAAATACGCTTCAAATATGAAACACATTTTTTTCATTTTTGCTAGGTCTACAATGCGATCATTCATTAAACATGTGTTTAATAAATTTGGTTCTGATTGGTTAAATATTAATTCAATCTCAATTCTAATTCGTAGTCTGATATCACCAATGAGAACTCAATACGATGATTCATTGGTGCATTTTTAGAAGCGCATCAATCAGAACATGGTATGATGACTCCGAGTCGGATCGAGTCGGCAAATCGAAAACGCCAGTAGTCATTGTAATTGAAAGTGAACTGGTTTTTGAACGACTGCGAACGCATGTCAGCCTGGCTTAACTATAGTAGTACGACTCAACGACTGGTCAGGCGCTCCCTTTATTTTCAAGTAATACAACTCAACGGCAAAATTGAAGAAAACAATATGAAATTTCGCATGTAACATTAAATTCAAAAGCCTATTGACATGGAAATTAATTGAATTTTGAAAACATTGAGAAGACGAACGACTCTTTAAAAAAGAGAAGCAAACATTGATTCATTGATCTTATATATAGCTCATCTGTAATCGCGTGAAACATAACGCGCGCTGAGTGGGTGTATGCGATTAAAATCTCTGTCACGTATGCGAAGCCGCAAACGACGAAAGTATGTCAACAATATGTGAGTACAAATGTCGTAAGGATGCGACAAAAATTCGAGTAGGAAGTCGATATAGGGAAGAGATACAGATATACAGGGAAGAGATACCGATTTTATCTGGGCCCGGCGGTTATTGGAGCATCACTTCCTATGCGAGTTTTTTCCGTCATGCAAATCAAGTTTCCAATCATTTCCTTTTGCGGTGATGTATCGAAAGAGCGGAAGAGATGAGTTTGATTGTCCAATTGAATCAGCGCTTTCTACATCGAATTTAGAAACATCGCCTAGCTACCGATAATAGTTGATTAGTATGATTAGAAATCTTCCTCTTAAATCGACATTTGGTTTTATACATCGTAGGAAAGTGAGAAATTTAAATAACGTGCTTTCTCCGATTTGTTCACATTTTTGCACAGATGTTATCGGTGGAGATATCGAAAAGATAGTAAATTGTGCTACGGATAATGCAATTTGATATATAGTTCCTATAGTGGTACCTTCCATTAAAATCTCACTTCAAAACAAGATGCACTTCTCGATACCGGATACTCAGGAATTTATGGATGAAGGTGGGAATGCATATGTTGTGAGTATCTTGTGAGTATCTGTGTGATAGACTGTGTATTTTAATATGGAAAAGAATTTGAATTTATATACATGTAAATTATATGTAAAAACTTGTGTACGTACCCGTAAGTTTATATAAATAATATTAGTTTGTACAAAGTTCTTTCACTTACAGGGATACAATATTCATATCAATGGATTATTTCATTGTACGGTGAGGTACAAACAGCTGCACAATTTGCACGAGCAATTGTCTAAGGATCTGGACATATCATTGCCAATATTTCCACCGAAGAAGTTCTTCCCCTTGACTGTCAATCAGCAAGAAGAACGACGATTAGCTCTGGAGAAATATATTCAGTCAATTGGTCAGAATGTAGCCATAAACAATTCTGAGATATTAAATGGATTTTTATTAAGCGCTCAACAAGAAACTATAGGTGGTCCATCCAAGAACGAGATTTTAGACATATTTCTTATGAATGGATCCAAGATTTCGTTAAACATTTCCACAGGAGAACATTCTGGTCAAATCTTAAAGGTAAATATATATATATATTTTTTTTCCAGAGTATATTTTTATTCTTTATTGAGAAAATTATATTTATGATATAAAATACGTGACACTCTTGTTAAAATATTTTTTTACAGGCATTGTGTAAACATATAGAGTTAATAGATAAATATCATTCTCATTTTGCGTTATTTATTATTATACAAGAAGACAATAGCAATATCAGAAGTGAGTATATCTACTTTTACAGTGTTTGATTAAAAATATACTTCCGATTTTACTTTTCGATGTACTATTTTTCTAGTACTGCGCAAATTACAAGATTTTGAGTCGCCGTTTATAACATACAAAAATATGCATCCTATGGGTACAAAGGTCGTTCTCAGGAAGAGTTACTGGGACACAACGTACGACATCGAGTTACTGAGTGACCCGATAGCTCTGAATTTGTTATACATTCAAACGGCCGCGGAGATACGCAGTGGTTGGATCCCGGTCGCCAAGGAACAGCAACAACACCTGGAGGGTCTGCAGAAGTCCGGGAACAAGGAGGAAGTAAGTTTACCGCGAGAAATCCATACCCAATCTCCGAGTGATTTGTTTTGCGCACGTTATTATTATTTCAGTATTTGAGTGTAGCTCGTACTTTAAAATATTATGGCTACATACAATTTGCACCATGCTTTTGCGATTATCCTCAACATGGTTCGAGAGTATTGCTTGCTATAGGTAGAAACGAATTGAATTTACGCATTTTGTCGTCCGAGGAAGGGCACGAGGTCGTGTTTAAGGTATCGCGAATGCGATGTTGGCGCATCACCACTATGCAGAGCGTGAGTATTCCCCGGCCTCGTTCTGAGAAATATTTGGATTTCTCCGAATTAATTAACCAGCTGCCAATGTATTGCAGGGGATGGAGCATTGCGAAGATAATAACGATTGCACTTTGGAGTTATCTTTCGAGTACCTGGTCGCCAGGAACGAATTACAGTGGATCACGATCGCTTCAGAGCAGGCGATCTTAATGTCCGTTTGTCTGCAAGCCATGATCGACGAGCTGCTGCAGAAATGCGTGGTGGGGAGCAAAGCTGAGGTCGTTATATAAAATGTTTGAACGGTGTGCTTGAACGGTTAAATCTCCCCACCGTTGAAACAACGCATAATGCATTTTACAAACACATCTGGGCCCGCGTTAACAGCGTCTCGCGACTGTCAACACGGGTCTTCAGTGTCCCGTATATGATGTATTGCTATGAATTCCAACACGTGCTATTTTCAGACGGTACCCGAGAAGTCGTGGACGTACATTATGAGGGATGGCCAGAGTCGCATCACCATGGGCTCGCCATCGCGAGAACGTGCCAATAACGGTCATTCGACCAAGCCGGGGCCAATTATAAAGAAGCTCGCTAATAAATTGTCAGCCGTGAAGTTAAAGAAGTCGAACGACAGCTCGCCGACGGTAGTCAGGAGGACTCTGGAAACGCACACGACGGACCTCGATATCATGGAGAATAACGCCTTCCGTATGATAGGTGATGACGATTTATAGGCTATGCGACCTATCGATGGTTCTTCGAATGGAATCTTGGAGGTTGACGAGCACAGTGATATAGAGTAACGGAAGAGTACGCCTTATCTGACTAATTTTAAGAAGATATATATATTTTGAGAAGTCTATTGCGAGAAAGAGAGAGAGAGAGAGAGAGAGAAACATTGAAACAGCTCCTGACTCACACAGTCGATAACAGTTAACTATCCAGACTTTTCAATTGATTGTTGAATGTTGTTATATATTTTTTGTATCGCTATGTGGTTAAACTGCATTTATACATTTATATACTGATAACTTAACACATGTAAAATTCTCTATATCTTTATACATACCTGTCCAATCATGACGATAATTTAACGTGTATTTTGAAAATAAAGTCTCGCCGAAATGTCTCGAGTCAGTAAGCTTAGGTTGCAAATGTAATGCTGTGTGTAAGGTACTTACTCTCTCTGATAAGATTAATGTATTACAATGGTATATCGACTAATCTGGAAGGATCTGAAAGAACGCACAATGTTTGCATAATGTTTTATTATTGTTAAACAAAATGATCAAAAAGGCAGCACGTTAATATTTGCTCTCGTAATTATCTTAAACAGAACTATCAATATATTTCGCTTTAATGTTAAATAGCAATCATCCTATATGTTTGTGTTACGTGTGTGTCCTATCAGACTATTGCTTTCGCTAAATCATTCACTCGGAAAACATACTTCTGCCTTCAGTCTCTATATTTCAGCCAAACACTGTAATAGATCGTACAATACACAATAAAAATTATAAATGTCGTAAAAGGAGGATCATGATTAAATACGAAATACAAAGCCATACTTCAAAGTGAAAAAATAAAAACGGATATATCATATATGTCGCTCTATGTGAAATACGTAATTATAAGTTCTCGCATGAAAAAAAAAAAAAGTAATCGTTTACTAAGTGATCGCTGGATGACCGATGAATTATTACGTAGAAAAATGCGTCGGTGTGCTCCTTTGTGACACTTTTATGAAGAACTGCAAGTTTTAGTTCCGTTTCTCCCTTTTCCCTAATTTCAAAAACAACACAGAACGTTTAGCAGACATAAGTCACAAATTATAATAATTACTTCAAACAGGAGGACTTTGTAGTAGCGATAAAACTGTAAAAAACATACGTATATGTATATATAATTTATAAATCTTTATGATTTTATGTAAGATAATGCATTTTACAAACACATCTGGGCCCGCGTTAACAGCGTCTCGCGACTGTCAACACGGGTCTTCAGTGTCCCGCATATGATGTATTGCTATGAATTGTGAACCGCGTACAATAAAACCGCCAAAACCAATGCGTGAGAAAGATATTGTTTATATATATATGTGACTAAATCATTCAGAAGAATGTAGAGAAGACCGTAACATGATACATATTGCGCTTCGTATATAAAACGATATTCGGAGCGTAACGTCGATTGTGTGGAGCAATTTAATGATGCATTTGGTTCGCCCGGCACTTCGTTAAAACGCTCGAGACAATTATGCTGTTCACACTTTCTTTGCAAGGGATCAAGACTATTATACGCTTCAAGATTTCGGACCTTATTTCACTGTGTGCATACTTTCTATATCAAAAATATGTCGTTATATATTCTGTATTATTACTTCCTAAAAAAGAAGAAAAATTAAGGTCAGTCCTGGCTATATAGCATTTTTTAAGTATTACAGCTCTATTTCCGCTACTTGCAAAATAGCCCAACGTCAGCAAAGAATTACTCCACCCTATGATTACCCGCCATTCGTCAATGGCACGTACAAATATATCTATTTCGCAACGATTGCAAAAAATATGCGGTGAGAAATTTCAATGCTTTTATACACAAAATGATTATTGTAAGGCATTGTTACCGTTACACGAACCCTTTTATACGATTCTAAAAATATCGTCGTCGTCGTCATTGGAATCTGGATCAGATTTCAATTTCAACAATTTTTTCTTCTCCATGTTGCGACAAGAGTAAAATTAGGGCGCGTACTGGAATATTTTCTAATACGGAAGACTAACAGCTAGTACGTTCGTTTATGAAGTATTTCATTAGAATGCGGCATCTCATCGGTGCTGCATATCAAAGAATACTATATATATATATATATATAGTATATATAATTCATTACTTTAGAATTGTGTGTGTGACCATATTGTGGTGTTTTGCAAACACAAGTAAAAGTAAATCCGATCGCTCGCGGAGAGAATTGACGTAAACTAGAGTTAACATTAGTTAGACGAATGAATATAGAGAGTCTATCTATGGCAGTAGAATAAAAAGTTAATTAAATCATATACAGCCTTGTTCGCTTATATGAAACTGTCATAATTAAATATGACATTCTCACGCTCAAAACTGCTCTGTGATCGTTCGAAGTGCATTTCGTGAGCGCGCATCCTCTCCCCTCGCACATGAGATGATTTCGTTAACGCAATATTCAGGATAAAATGGCATTGTGGATGACTAGCGTAGCGTGATAATACAGTACGATACGATACTTCCGATTTTCATTCCAAGCGGATATAAAAAATTTCTTTTCTCCCGATAAACGATTGTAATCATGACGCGTTTTCTTCCGCGAATCCTATTGCATCCCTTTCCTCCCTTCTTCACTTTCTAACGGCCTTAACACCGGGCCTGGTAATATTTCTATAAGAATAGGATATATATTTAACAGTAAATATATAGGTAAACATAATACAAAAATTAAGTATAATGATTGTTCCGTCACTAAATCGCGTAAAATAATTTACATTGGTGACGTGAGGCTATTAGCTATTACTAGCTAGAACACCCCAGATTCATAAAGAAAAGCAACATTGATTTACTGGATAAACAGGAAACATTCACGATCACTACGTCGTTTTGTCCGTTGCTGTTGTTGTTGTTTGAGGTAAAATATTCATGGTGAACAATGTTCTTCTCTTTGATGAAGCCAGGGATGTGATGTGAATAAAATCTATTCATTTATACAACTGTACACCCTTGTTTTGTCTATCGTCGTCACTCATTCGCGTAGAGAAGGAAACCAAACTGTTAGAAGTTCTGCTGGCGCTTCCGTTTGGTGTCCATGGCATCGAGTATAGGCTGTCTCTTTGTCTGATACCTCTTTCGGAGCTCGTCGATCTCTCGCTCCATCTCCGCGTCCAGACTAGCCATCCGTTGCTGCAGTTCCTCGTAGGAGAGAAACTTCAGCTGCAGGACATGGTTGTTTATCTATATTATCAAGCTTCCTTTTTTATCATGCCTGAGAATGGCATTGCATATCCGCGATAATTCGCGGGAAGATTAACCCTTTACGTGGCAAATCTGCCATATGGCAGGCAGAGTGAAAAATATATTTAGGTACAATATTGACCACCACTGATATCTTGGAGTTCCTGAGGTCGCTGATTTATGAATTTGAACTCAAAATTTATAATCGACGATCTAACAGACTTGTAAAAAAATTTTGTAAAAAATAAGTTTTATAGTATTCGGTTAAATTTTGATTTTTTACAGCAATATTCGGCCGACCATTTTAAATGTGGAATTTAATCTTAAATTCGTAATTCAGCGAACCCAAGGATCCTTAAATACCGTGTTTCATAACAACCACACAGGTTTTGATTTTTTGGTCGCCATATTGGACCCGTCATTTTCAATTAAAAAATTTTGAATTTTCAAATTCATATTCAACGATCTAATCCCTAAATATCTGGTGTCTTAAAAATTTAATCACTTTTTTTGTCTTGTCACAAGGGCACAAATAGTGAAATTTTGCGTGTCACGTAAGAGGTTAACATACAGGGTGTCCCAAAATAAGCCATCTTTATACAATGTCCGGTCTTTCCTGTGCGTGTATTAGCTCAGACAAAATAATTAATTCCTCGTTAACTACTGCGAATTTTGCAAAGTGACATATGAATTTTTTGTTCTCAGCTTCACCCGTTCTACTTGCACACCACGGGAACCGGGATTAGTTCGGGACACCCTGTATACGAAAAGAAATATTCACCCGCGTAAAGTGCTACTACGAGCTGCGAGCGGTAAAAAGTTCTACTTACAAAATCGAAATCGCGTTCCGTGAAGACATTTTGGAACTTGGATATGTTGTTATGAGGCTGCTCCGGCACGGGATGAGATATCTGATTTAACTGTAATTGCAGGTGACTCTGAAATCTCTGAGATTCGGTGGGACTTGGCAGCTCCAATTTGTTTGCGTTCTCGGAATTATGCGCTCCCAATATCTGTCCATTGCCCTGCGTAAAATTAATATGATGTCAACGCCACTGGCTAGAATATGTCCCGAGTAACATTGTAAGCGTCTCGTAGATAGATACAAATGCAAAGAGCGATACAGTAAAAAAAAAGTAGGTATAGCGGGATGTCTACTTAAACACGAAAAAAAAATTATATTCTCTGATTTTTCAGGCAATTTGTTAAAAATTTCAGGTAAAACGAAAGTATTTATGTATTTATTGTACAAAATTAATTAACCTTCTTAATATTCCCAATCCATAAAAGTTTATAAATCATAAAATAAAATTAAGAATCATTCGAGTTTCAAAAATTAAATTTGAAAAATTTTGAAAGAAACTGTAAGAATTCTAAAAAGAAAATATTTTGTATTGTGCATAAAATTTCCAAGTTTTATTTACAAAAGTAACAAGCAAACTATTATGTAATGCATAAGCGGTACAAAATTAAATTTCTATGAAATTTAACTATTAAATTAAATATGTTTCTTTTTAAACAAATTGTGTTTAACACGAAATCAATGTCTTCAATACTGAATATCGTATATATTAGTATATACAGAATTATATACACAGATTAATTCGCGCCTACGATTCATAACGCTGTTCTGTATTAATTAAAATTAAAATTAATTAAAATCAAGTCGAAAAATCCTGAGTTATTTTTTTCTTTGATTCTTAGTGAAGAAAATATCGTTAAATAAAATTCAGTCAATCAACATTTGTCTATAAACAACGCGATAATATAGCAGATAAATGTCCATTTAAAATTCTCCGAGAATGCCCTGATTTTTCCAGATATTAAGAAATTCTGAGAATTCTAGGTTTTCCAGGTTTTTTCAGGCAGTAGACACCTTAAGTAGGAGCAGACGGAGCAAAAATACCTATGTAATGTTTGCCTATATGATAATTATCATGTACGGACAACACAATTGACAAAGACAAGTCACCGAAATAGATAAAAGAAGCAGAAACAAAGGTAGTGTTTGGAGTGTAGTGTGATCATATCGCGAGGGGCTGCTGCAAATCAATGGAAGGTAAAGTCGATTAGGTATCACAGAGTCTGTTATGATCAAGTTTTCGGAGTAAGTGCAAGTTCCTTAAGTTTTTGATAACCAATATCTCCGTGAATCTACAATTACAGATGAAGAAACTTACCTTGCCGATCTCAGGTGCTTCTTTCTTGTCGAAGTGATCTAAGAACAAGGGTCGATATTTTTTGCCGGATTCCACGGAGCCGGTGTTATGTCCTGGAAGCAGTATCGATGCTCACGTTAATAGCGTGTTATTTTCCTCCTTCAAAGTCTCAAAATTACAACTAAGGTCTACTGACTCTTCATGGTGGCCTCGGTGTCTGTGTCACTGTTGATGACCATCGTACCCAAGTCCAACATTGCTGAAACTAAAGTACCCGTGTCTGGAAGATCATGACTTGGCACCAGAGTTCTGCTGTCCTCCGGCAACGGTTTCATCGTGCCACTGCAATCGTCCTCATCCTTGCAACGGAGACACAATGACGTTACCGATTATATTGCATATATGCCTAAAGGACCGTCTACAATAGCCATAAAGCATGCAGTAAAACGTAAACGGTAAACTGATTGGCTACAACCGCAGTCGGCTGTTCTTGGACGGTAAAGCGGGCAGCACAGGCTTCATAACGCATAAGAAAATGAACCAATCGGAATCCTTTATTTCTATCTCCAAGATGGAAATGAAGTTACTCAAATGGTCAATTAGTCTACTGCTCACTTACGTCTTACTGCATACTTTACGATTATTATAGGCGGTTCTTTATAAGTAGAATAAATGCCGGGAGCGATAGCTACCGAATCTTCCGTCTGATTTTGACTCTTAATCGCCACGTTGTTTATAACATGAGCTCTATGCGCGCTTTGCTTCTCTCGTATCTCATGGGCTTCGGCGATCATTTGACTCAAGATACTCGGTTGCTTAGCGTTACCTGCAGTCACGTAGCACGAATGCTGGGCGATTAATAAAGACACGACGATGCTGACGTCGATCGAGCAATATAACGACCTTCACTCACCTATGAACTCGTGATGTAAAAGCTCGGTAGCGGTAGCTCTCTCTTCGGGATTTTTTACAAGGCACCCACTGACAAAATCGATGAATTCTGGACTCCACTGATCGGGTTCTCTAAAACTAGGCGGTGGCTTAGTCGGAATCATAAATATCGCCCTCATCGGGTGTATGTCGCCGTATGGTGGCTTGCCCTCAGCCATCTCTAAGGCTGTAATGCCGAGTGACCAGATATCGGCGACACAATCGTAACCGATCTCTTGTATCACCTCTGGTGCCATCCAGAATGGCGTGCCGATGACTGTGTTGCGTTTAGCCATAGTATCCTGTAAATGTTAGTAGGGAGACTTAGATTCTAGTTTTGAAAAGCCGTTTTTTTTTTCAAGCTACAAAAAAACAAGGAACAACGTTTCGCGGAAAATTGCTTTCTTATTACTTGAGTTTTTCTTACAACAACCAATTTCGCTTATAATTTTATGTTACAAAAGTATTAAGATGAGATTGTCGAAAAGTGAATAGTTTACGAGATATTTCATGTCTTGTACTGTAAAATATCAGGATAAAATGTAAAATATCTCGAGAAATAAAATGTTTCTCGGCGATTTTATCCAAGTATTTTTATACGTAGGATGACCAAAAGAATCAGTTTATACTTTAAAAAACCATAAGATCTCATTAAAAAGATTAAGATTAATCTTAAAATAATGTTTAACAAAATAGTTTAATAATATAATAATATTATTATAATATTTTATGCCACGAATCTTACAACTTTTGTCTGGAACTTTTTTCCGAATTTCTTTCGAAATATTAGTCTGTAACACTTTATATGAATCACTCAATAGTTTTTTCTACGTCAACATTTATTAATGGATTTTTAACATTTATTAATGGATTTTAAAAAAATTACGCGTACTGATAACATGTATATTATATATTTTCTACATATTTTATGATAATATATGTATTATATATTTTCTACATATTTTTGTTCGCAATGTATTCGGTTTTAATTCCTTGAAGATATGTTATTGAAAATATGTTATTGCTTAATATACAATATCCTAAGTAACAAAGTGACATCAAATAACGTCTTAATGATGTACCTAACATAAATCAAATGTCATTAAGATATCATTTGGCGCCATCTTGGCTATTTGGGATATTATTTTCATTTAACTTTAGTTAAATGCACACAATTATCTTCTTTACGAAAACAAGGAAATGTGACAGGTTTTAACCAAACATATGTGAATTATTCTAAACAAATTTGTCTACCTTTGGGAAAGGAACTGGGAGAATCGGAAAAATGTAAAAAAAAAACCGGTTTTTTCCGTGTCATTAAAACTATATTAGATCCAGATGCCATTAAGACCTTTTTCTTGTAACTCACCGTTAATTGACCAGCCACACCAAAATCTGCCAGTTTTGCATGGCCTTCATTGTTCAGGAGAATGTTCCCAGCCTTGATGTCCCTGTGGATTTTCCTTCTCAGGTGCAAGTACTCCAGTCCTTTCAAGGTATCGCTCAGGATTGTTGCAATCTCATCTTCTTGAAGAGTCTTCTTCCTTAACCTCATTATATCGCTAACAGAACCTGCTCCGCAATACTCCATCACAATCTGAAAGATGAAGTTTTGTATCGATGAAAATCATGACATCTCGATCTCGATGAACGAAATGTAACTTACTGACTTACCCATAAATCTGTATTCTTAAAGTAACTTCCGTAATATTTAACAACATAAGGAGAGTCGCATTGCTGCATAATTGAGATTTCCTTGATGATTTCCTGCAAATCCGTGTCCACTGGTACTTGCTTGATCGCAAGCACCTGTCCACTTTCCTTATGCAACGCTTTGTAAACTGATCCATAAGATCTGCGGAGGAATATACATTTTGAGGTCATCGGTGTAAGATGTGTGTATCGTCCCGTCACAGAGACAGCAGAGACTCACCCTTCCCCTAGTTTGCATATAATGTCAAACACCTCCTCCGGTTGTCTTGTCAGACTTTCCTCTGACAACTTTTTTAATTCACTAAAATTAATACAAATGTCTTTTTTAAGCTGTGATATCGCATTTACATGTACTACGTAAAGTTGACAAATAATTTCTCTATGCATTTGCGTGTAACTTATTTTCCGGACAAGTCTAAAAATTCGTAGAACTATCTAAGATTTATTTCTCAATTCTCTCTGCTGGTTTCATTTGTAACAAGCAGATCGGCTTTGGTGAGAACGAGCATGTGAGATCTCGCGAAGCACACAATTCGGTAACATCACCCAGGTATAAAGGGGAGTTCGAGAGAAAGGACTGCAACATGGTAAATAATCTTGTACGATTGTCGTTGCAGGTTAACAAAAGGACAAAGAGTGGGTTCAGATTGTCATTTCGGAGTTTGCGATACCGGTCGGGAATCATTTCGATCGGGAAACCCACTCTCCGTGTGCGGCTATTAATAATCCCTGAGGATAAGTCGGCGGTACAGAAGCGCGAGCAATCAGCCGTGTGCAGAAAAACACAAAGTAAAAACAATCGAAATACCTCTTAGAAGACATCTTCGCGTCGATGTCAGATGTCGGGGAAAATCTTGAATAAAAGCACCCGCGGTTACTTATATTGGGAACAACATAAACGCGAGCGGAGTGTTTCTTATCATGCCGCGTGCGTAGGTAACATGGCCAATTAAAAATAGAGGGTATTACATTTTTGTCAATAAATTAAAGGTAACCACAACCGAAATATCGAAACCTTCGACTATCGGCCATCGTAGATGGTGTAGTCGCCGGAGGGTTCGGGAAGGCATTAAAACATACGCGTACATCCTCAGGCTCGTTTTACACGAGCGACATTTTTGGACCCCGGCGAGAGAGGGGAGGGGGGAGGAGGATACGAGAGAGAGCGCCGGCAATATCATAGAACGAGAGAATAGATCTGTTTTTTTTTCGAAACACTTTCTGCACTAGTGCACACCGGTGCAAGGAGTTAGTTTACACTTCTTTTTATCGAGAATGACGTCATGACGTCATCAACGCTGTTCGTTTTCGCAGTGCAACAGCATATAGTGCAGGCAGTTCAGAGAACTGTTGCACTGAGTCAGGAGGTAATATGGCCAGTGCAGTGCATAAAAGTGTAGATGGGAAGTGCATGTAAGCGTAACGGAGATTTATAGGAAAAGTGGATTGCATTTTATTGAAATGTATGAAACATCTTATTTATTTCATTATCAAAAATATACAAAAATATACATACACAGCAGAAATGTCCAAACATACTACAAGGATGAATTTAAGTTGTCAAGATATCTTTATGATTTTCCTACGAAAAATGTTTTCCTGCATAACGCGAGTTCTTACAACGCGAATTCATATAGCGCGTACCGTAATAACTGCGTTATATGGGAGTTTACTATATATACTAAATAGTATCTAATCAATTACAAGACTGATAATCATTATATATTTGCAGGTGGCGTGCAATTTGAATTAAATTATAAAATGATAAATTTTAACTGCGACAACTTGGAGTGTTGTGGAGATGATACTACCATGTTGATATCATTACATAACAATGACAGTAAATCATCGGTTCACAACATACTACAGAGAGAGAATTTCCATCCATACAAAATAAAGTTCACACTGATACACAAGTTAAATGAAGACGATTTCGATCGTCGCGTTGAATTTTGTGATGATATGATGGCACGCATAGTTCAAAATCCCAACTTTCCATCAAATATAGTCTTCTCAGATGAAGCTACATTTCAACTTGACTCAAGCTTAAATAGGCATAATTGTAGATATTGAGCAGATGAAAACCCTCATTGGGCAAGAGAAGCCAAATCACAATATCCACAAAAATTAAATGTCTGGGCTGGAATACTAAATAATAGAATTATAGGACCATTTTTTTTTTATGGCAACTTAAATGCCCAAAACTATGAAGCTATGCTGCGGAATCAAATAGTTCCTGTAATAAAAGAAATAGCTGGAGACAACTTTAATGACACATGGTATCAACAGGACGATGCAGCAGCTCATTATGCACGAGACGTTCGCGCTTACTTAGATACAGTATTTATCAATCGATGGATGATAGGACGAAGAGGCACAATTGAATGCCAGCTAGGTCATCCGATTTAAGGGGAGGTTCTCATCAAGCGACCTAAAAATGACGTGTTTTTCAAGAATTTTTTCCTCAAAGACGGAAGTAGATATCAATGTCAAATTTTGTACATATATTTATTAACTATTAATATGAAAATATTTTTAAATTTCAAATGTAAACAAAAATACATAACCCTAGAATATACACTCACTTGTGAAAAGTTATGTTTTTTGTTAAAGGATTTTGTCCCTTTTTGCAAACATAACACGACCTAACCATTTTGCAATGCTACTTATAACAATATTTATTTCTTAATTAACGTGTGACTGGTTACAACCTCTAACTTGGAAAAGCAGACGCCGCGTACACTCTGCCGCGGCGCACGCTCGAACCAATTTGCTGACGTCACTAACTGACTGATTAGAAAGAGACAGAGGGGTCCGTCGGTTTTCTATCTCTTTTCATGCACGGGACATTTCCACTTACACTCGTACATGGCGCTTCGGTACTTTATTTATATATTAACTCTATGGTCCGCGATGCCGCCTACCGGAAGTCCCCTTTTCTTTCATCTGATTCCGGTTTCTGCTTGAAAAATAACTTCCGCTTTTCGTTTATTGATTTTATCGGTGGTTTAAAAAATAACTTTTTTCTTCTTTTCTATGCGACTTCGCACGCGCGACTTATAGTTCGCCCTAGCATGTCATTAACTAAAACTTTTCGATATTTTTTACTTACCAGACGTAGAATTATATAAAACTAAACTCATAATATAAAAATAAATTTTTGTAGCCTTAATATAAAAAATAAACTGTCGTAAACATAATACAGAAATAAACTGTTATAAATTATAGAAATAAAACTGAAATAAGTTCTTAATTTTGTTTCGGTTCTTGTTCTTCTGTTTTGTGTGGTCTCCCTCTTCTCGCGGTCAGCCGCGCTCCCCTACGCAGCTGTACCTCCGGTTGCAACAGATCTCTTCATTGCATTTTTGCACTGGACCGAACTATTCTGTACTAGTCTGTCCCAGTGCGGTTCAGTTCAGTTCAGTGTAGTTCTGGTGCAGTTTTAGCGTAGCGAAAAAAAACAGACCTATTGAAAACGAAGGGGGGCCGCGATTTCGGCGGAGAAAGTAATTCGCAACAGGGCCGCGCGGTAGCGCCACGAGGCGTTGGAATTTTTAACACGCTCCCCTTTTCCCTCAATTATCAACACACTCACGCGATCTCTCTCGTGTGTTTATTCTGTCGAAGTGAAAATCAAAAAAGAAGAAAGGAAATAGGGCGCGCACAGCAAGGACCGTTGGACTTCGAGGGAAATAAATTAACGGGTCACTTGATAAAACGCTTTATTAATGTTCAAACAAAGAGGACATCACAGATGTGTAACCAACAAGTAATCTAATTCATAATAATTATAACAGTGATCATAATATATTTCCCTTTGATTTGAATTAGTCGAATCAAATGACGCCGCAATCCAAAAGTTCTGCGATCTCATACTCCAACCGGATAAAAGGATCTCGATAAAACTCTCTCTCGTAATATCTCAACGTGCGTCTCTTCGTCGTCACGATCGTTTCGGTCGATCGGTCCCGAGCGAGACGATCGTTGCCACGTTGGTCATATATGACCGGCCACGGTTTCCCCTGTGACGCCACGATGGTCATTGGTGACCGGAGCGCTTGAACTTTTTACAATTGTAAAAATTGAATGAAAATTGACAGCGCATTTTGAATATAACCGATAAATAGAAGATACTTTGAAATAAAAAGTGCCCCATTGAACAATTAAAAATTTTTATTAGAACATCAATAAAAAAAAATATTAGAACAAATCTTGCATCTAACGGTGCACTGTGTTAAAACACTTTAAACATAAATATCTTTGAGGGGTAATCTACGAATATTATTATAAACACACCTCAGAAAATAATCGTAAATGCTACTTTATAATCATATAATTGAAGTTAGAAGTGTGCACATACCTTAATATTATATATAGAATGAGCAAATACTGTTTACTAATATCTTCTACACGTTTCACCAATATATTCTGGACGTTTCGCTTACGACGGAATAACGAATGCGAATAGTTTGTTGAAATAAACGAAGCCTTGTTTTAATTTGTTGCTAACAACTGTTACCAAGGCGCCACGGTGGTCACCCGTGACCACCAATAAGATAAACGCTCTATCTTATCCATTAAGAATGTTGTCTTATATCAATTTATTATTTTTTTGCCATTATATACTTTGAATAATAAAAATATTCCCGTGGCGTCCTGAGCGAAACATGTGATTTCAGCGTGGCAGTTAAAGTGTTAATAAATCTTATTTCCTTTGTTTCTTCTTTGTTGTTAAATTGAATATCGAATTTCGAGTGGAATTTAGAAATTATGGATAATCAATTTAGCCGAGATACTTGAAGTATGAGCTCTTGACTCGACGGGGAACAATCATAACGGTCGGCGAGTAGACGAACGGAAATCTTTCAAATTGCTACAATTCAGATCTCTCTCTCTCTCTCTCAAAAGTCGCTACAATTCATATTATACTTATATTATTTATTTCGAAGAAGTATATATATAATACATCGATTTTTTTTACTTTTATCAGCACACATGAGAAAAAGAAACGTACTTTCTCAGTGAGAATAATACTTGGTACCTTTTATATCGGCGCGACGTTTCTTTCCTTTAAATCTAAACTACCTTGTCTTCTATGGAACGGACTGTGTGTGAAATTAACACTCGTCGCAACGTGCTGGTAGTTAGTCGCTAAATGGTATTCACTGTTCTGCTGTGTTCCGGATAGATGACCCGCGCAATATTCGCGTCGTAACACACACATACACACATACAAAGGAAGAAAGAAGAAAACCCTACAAATGCGGTGCGTGATCTCCCTCTCCGCATTTGGTAAAATTACACAATTCATTCAAATCCGTATAAATAAGCGTAACGAATTTGGAACAAAAGACGGTGTGTGTGTATGTGTGTGTATTATTCGAAGAAGAGAGAAGAACTCCTTAAAGATAATACAAAATGTGATCGCAAACGGAGCGACAGTCATTGTCATCGTGTTCTTGTATCAGCTGCCGCGATATTACCAGGTATTTGTACCGAGAGAAGGAAACAAGAAGCAGACAAGTAGAGCAACGCTTGCGAAACTCGCTCATTTGAGTGTTCGAAAATTCCCCGGAGGCTCCTAATATTAGTCGTTAATAAAAATGTTAATGTTTTCACCCTCCCGATGCCTGCGCCGCAGTTTAGAAAGACGAAAATGAAGTGCTACGCGACTTTACACCTCTAGGTTCTTGCTCTTAGGCAGGCGAGGAAAAGCCCGGAGAGAGAAAGGCACGGTCGCGCCTTTGCGATACAGCAAACGAAGCAAGTTTCGTTGTACGTATATCGAGAAATTATTACACGAGGAAAAACGTGAATCCCAAAGGTGATGGCCAACTGAAATCCACGATCGTTTCGATCGATCGCTGCGCCGAATGAAATCGCGATGTAAAACGTGCAGCAAGGTAATAAAACCTCTCTAAATCGAAAGAGGGAAGGAAGAAGAGAAAAAAGAAAGAAGACACGGAAACAATCGTACTAAGTCTAGTTTATACAGTCGTAACGTTAAAATACGTCTCGTGGAATTCATTCGCGCGTACATCTTCTCTCTCTTTCTCTCTCTCTCTCTTGCACTAAACTCACACAACATTACATTCCCGGAATTGCTTTGCGTATCGTTAGACGCGCGGTGCCGCTCGATTAAAACCAAAACTCTCACGGCGCTCATGACACGCGAGCTTTCTCGAACAAGTATATATGTATGCATGTATATATATATATATATATATATATTATATAAATATATATATATATATATATTTATTTATTTATATTTATATAATATGTATATCAATTGGAAAAATAATAAACAAGGTGTGCCGACGTTACACAGTGAAACGCAACCTGTCCTGTACGGGAACAGGAATAGAGGGAATGATCACGCGTGCAACGAGGATCTCACGACGACTCTTCTCTCTCTCTTTCTCTTTCGATGGAGGAACGTCATATCCTTCCGCCGGGTAATAGGCAAGAGCGAGGACAAATGGCCGTTTCTTTTCCTTTTCTTACTGCTCCACGACGCAAACAGCGGCACTGCACGCAACAGAACGAACGCGTAGGCGGGTGGCGGCGGCGGAGGTGAGACGCGGCTCACTCGAGCGTTACTTGATCGGCTTGCCCCAGGCGAACTGCATCGGCAGACGCGGTATGTCGCTGCCGGTGGACGACTCGTCCTCGCTGCTGGACGCGGACGTCTCCTCGGAGATCATCGCCTCCCCGCCAGCCTCCTGGGGCTGGTTCTGGCCGACGGTGCAGTCTTCCGCGGCCGCGGCGGCCACCGCGGCGGCCGCGACCGCGGCCGCTACGGTGGGGTTCGCGCCCGGCGCCGAGGACGACGCGGAGGATGACGAGGAGGACGAGGAGGAGGAAGAGGGCGAGGCGTCGTTGTTCCTGGGAACTCGTCGTCGGGTGACCGGCGTTGAGTTGAACGACGGTGACCACGCGTTCTCCTCGACCCGCGCCGCGTCCGTCACAGAGATGCTCTTCGACCTCGCTCTGCTGGTGTCCGCGTCGGGGGAGCGTTTCGGTGTAAGTCTCAGCGAGCCTTGCCTCGATACCGTCGCGCCGCTCTCGGACCTGCTGACTTTCGGTAGCCTGCTAAGCGAGTCGGAGGAAGCCGCGCCGCCCTTCGACGACGACTCGTCGTCGATCTCCAAGGTCCAAGAGACCGAGTCGCTCTTCTCGACCATGAACTTCACCATTGACGACGAAGATGACGACGAGTGCGGGTCGCTCTTGTCGGGGGAGAGAGTGTGCTCGGTGTGCTCCGGGCCCGCGGATCGGGAGAGTCGCGGGCCCGCCAGCTGGTTCGCGAGAACGCTCACCCACTCGTTCTTCTGGCGCAGCCTCCATTGCAGCTCCTCGTTGCGTTGCGCCAATCGCTTGTTCTGCTTCGAGATCTGGTGGATCGACTCGTGCAGCATCTCGTTCTCGTGCGACACCTGCCGCTCGAAGTTGTCCTTGCACTGGAGCTGGGCCTTCAGGTCCTCGCACCTCGCCTCCACGGTGTCGAGCCGCAGCTGCAGCGCGTCTTTGTCCTCGATGTCGCGCTTGAAGCTGTCCAGCTCCGACCTGAGCGCCGCGTTCTCCTGGCTCCTCAGCTCGAGCACGGATCGCAGGGACTCGATCTCCGCCCTCAGCACGGCACCCTGGTCGTGGACGACGGACCGCCTCATAGCCTCGGCGTCCTTGCGCGCCAGTTCGCTGTCCCGCTCGGCGCGCAGTCGCGCGATCGTCGCGCGATGCTCCTTCGTAGCGTCGTTCAGCCGCACGTCGTACTTGCGCCTCTCCTCCTTCAGGGTCTCGACCAGCACGGCGACTTGTTCCGCCCTGCGAGCCTCCACTGGAAAGAGCGACACGTTAAGGTGATCCTTTAACAGGCTACACGGAAGAAATTAGTCTTAAATCGATCATAGTTATTTTCATATATAAGCGAGAATATTATAAACTTCTCGGAAGATTTTTAGCCTTGATTTGATTGAATTTTATTCATGCAAGTATTATTTATGCTTAATTCAATATTAGAAACTTCCTAAGAATATAATATTCTTACTTATATGTATATGAAAATATCTATCATTGATTTAAAATTATTTTATGTGCATATATCCGAATAGTTCGAAAAACGCCCAATGTTTGAATTTTTCTGCTGACCACATTATTGACTTTATGAAGATGTCCTTTTGAGGAATAATTCTTGATACTTTCATTTGCATATTATACGAAGCCCATTAAAAAAAGTTGATATGTAACGCTGTTATTGCTGCTTTCGTGAAACTCGCCAACGCTAATCGGTACCCAAAATATCTCGGGACCTATCGAACCGATTTAATTGTAGTTTTGCACAGATATTATTAGTAAGATTATCTAGTCTTTGCTGTATAGCCGATTTTTTAAATATTAATTTTTCATAAAGTTATTAACATTCGAAAGTTCAAAGGTTCGATTTTTCGCCAGAAATTTCTCTTCTTTATTAAAAAAAAAGAAAAAAAGCTATGATAAATACAAAAAAATCCTACGGCAGACTAAACTTGGCTTAAACCAAGATTATAAGTTATTAGTGGCCTTCATATAATATGTAAATAAAAAGTACTATAATAAATATAAAAAATCCTACGACAAAGATAATCTTATAATTATGGTTTGATAATAGACTTCGTATAATATATAAATAAAGAATACTATAATAAACAGAAAAAAATCCTACGACTAAGGATAAACATAGCTTATAATTTTGGGCTTTATGTATTATGTAAATAGAAGTATGAAGAATCAGTCCTCAAAAGGACATCTTTATGAAGTCAATAACGCGACCGGCAGAAACATTCAAACGCTAGGCGTTTTTCAAGCCGCTCGGGCATACGTAGCTCCTCAATGACGCGATAATGGCAGTATTATAGCGCGCTACGCGTCGCGCCTCTTCGCCTTCGATCGCGTGCATTGATTTTACGATCTAACATAACTACCACGTCGCCGCGCTCTGGCACCGGGTTGAAAAGCAAAAGTATATACGTAGTCAAACGGAGAGCGCGCATTGAATCTATAATTAGCGGCTATCGAAACGTCGAACGTTACGTGGGAACTAAATTGAGAACTAAATCGCTCGGCGAGTTCGAAATATCTTCTAAGGAGAAACAAGAAGAGAGAAAGAGAGAGGGAGAGAGAGAGGGAGGAGGTGAGGAAGATAGAGGAAAGAAATAGAGAATGAGAAAAGGACACTCGCTCAGGATTAATCGCGAGGAATCCAGCTGCGCGTAGGCACTGCTGAATCGTTCACTTTAATTAACAATTGTTCCACTTCACGCGCGGGCGTGACTCGCGCACCGACATTAGGACGATTACGCTCGTTACCACGTGAGCAGGCATAATATCCACGCTGGTCGGTGACGGTTGCTGGCGAATTTTATTTTACGTGGTGCGCGCAAACGCACCGGAATAGAGAGAACCAGTGGTCTCTATTCGTGAGAAATTTTCGCGCATATACGCGTATACGCATATATACCGCTCGGCCGAGAACCAGAGAGAGAGAGAGAGAGAGAGAGAGAGAGAAAGAGAGAGGAGAAATAAACAAATCTGTTACATAAGACTTACGATCGTCGCGAAGTTCGTCCAGAGCTTTACGGTGATTCTCCCTCTCCGCCTCGAGTCTCTCCTCGATGCTGACGTATCTCACGCGCAGATCGTCGATTTCCGAAAGCACGGCGGACCGTTCGTTCCTCATCTTCTCGTAATCGGCCTTCAGTTGCTCGAAGTCTCTCTTCAGCTTCGGGGTTGCGAATGCGTCCAGCTGAAAGACGTCTCGTTAGACTGGGAAAGGACTTATGCCCATTTCTACCATCGTGGTTTAAATTTAAGACGACGATAGACTCAACGGAATTGACCAATCGCATCAGTTCGGCTAATTCGATCGGTCGATTTCTTTGAGTTAATCGTCGATTAGATTTAAACCGTGATAGAAACGGGCATTAGACCGCGAGTCTAAGGCCCGTATAACACAAAAGCTAACATACGACATTGTTGCGAGGTTTACAACATCGCGGCAATGTTGTTGCAAGCTTCTGTGCTGTATGAGGATAGTCGTGTTACTTGTCTCACGTGAAATTCTCGGATTTGAATTTCGATGAAGTTAGATTTTTGAGTTTCTCGAATCATTTTTCGAATAATACCACACATGCGACGTGTTACGTTTGTAATCATTATGCCAGTTGGAAAACTCACATTCAACTTGAAATTTTTGGCATGCCAACAACACAGCATCATCATCTAGAAATTCCTGCGATTTCAGTACACTAGAGACACGATCGGTCGCTTTAATCAACCGAAACAACATCCCTCTCTAAAATCTCAATCAACTTAAAAAATTGCACTTCGTAAACGCGTAATTGCACAGTAACGCTCTTAGAAGGTCAAGCTTTAGAACGGCAATAAATGCATCTATCTATCTATTTATATCTGTCTAAATTCGATTCTGAATCTTACTTGAAATAAATTTCAAATAACGATTGTTAACATCGCCGACAGCGCGAGCTGCGTCTTACCAGATTTAAGAAACCACATGTTTCACCCAAGAAATATATCTAGTCGGTCTAAATAAAAAGCTAGTACAGGCTAGATTAAGTCTTCTAGCTCGTTACTTCGTTACTGGCCGATTATTCACTAAAATGTAGAATTGGTTTTGTGATCTAGCCGTCTAGTCATTACGTGTCAAGTATGATAGAGTAAACGGTGCTATCTAAGATATATAATCTAGTTACTATAATATATACCCGCTAGTAGCATTTAAAAAAGAAGTGACAAATCAAAATTAACGTTATTTCACGACACGTTATCCCATAAAAGCAGAAGCAAGCATTATATTATTGCCTGGTAGCTATGTTTTTTATCCAATAATTGTGATTTCTCTTGCTTAACCACAACTGACTTATTTATCTAGCTATTATATTTAGCCACTAGAAGTGAGCGTTACCTTACTATATAATAGTGACGTTGAACACAAATTTATCACCTCGTAGTTAGACACCCACGAGATTCAATTTCTACTAAGGCGTAATAAACGATACACATAGAAAAACATATGTTGCATTCGAGAATAAATGTTACTTGTATCGAGTATTTCACATAAGTTCATACATCCACGAATATGTCAAATAAGTTCATTATAAATATCAAATTTATTCCAAACATATTCCAAGTCCTGATATAAGTTTAGTACATCACGAATATTAAATTAAAACAAACTTCGATTTGTGCGTGCTTCCAAATTAATCAAATTAATCTTTCCTCAATAATATCCTCGTAAGAAGAAAAAACTCTTTGGAGTGAATATGACAAAGGGCTTCTTTAAGATTTGCAGTAGATATGTTTTAAGACTATTTTATCAAGAAAATATTCTTTATTGAAGATAACTGTTATTTCAAAGAAGGAAAGTAAACCGAGAGCAATCGCTCCTCTTAACAACAGAATGATACTTTTTCCTGTGTACGCAGTAGCGTCGTCTTGACCTGAATTCCGACAATTCTTGCAACATAGGAGTCAGCATAATCAAACTCTAAAAATAAGGATAACAATTCTTTTCCCGAGTCACCAAAAGTTTCGGTCGATCCTCGAGACTAGACCCGAACGGTCAGCAAGATACGGGTCTGAGAGCCTGAAGCAGACCAGTTGTCTCACAACTTTGTCTCAAACCGATAAGTCGGCTATTTAATTGAGGCCCGAAGACTCTTAGATCCTTCACAGACAGACCCCGGCGCTCCGGGTATCCTTGAACTGTTATTCGCTCGTGCGGAGACCGTTAGGGAAGACGACGAAGAAGAGAATGACGCGGAAGCGAACGTACCTCACACGTCATGTACTGCACTGTCACCGCGAGGGCCTGCGCGGTTCGCTCCAATTGCTGAGCGCGGGAGGCCTCGTAGGGCACGGTGGTTTGCGCGGCCTGGTCCCGCGTCTCCGGTGACGTCCTCGCCGGCGCATAGTTGATGTTGTGGTGAGCTTCCTTGGACTCGCGATCTGCAATCAGTGTCACCGGGCCCATATCACCACCACTGGCGGACAACTCGCTCCCGAGGTCGCGAGCCGGGAACGAAGATACACTTGTGTGGCAGTGGTAGTCGTCGGCCGGGACTGACTGAACCACCACGCTCTCCGGCGTATCAATGAATCAGCCCACGTTCCCTCTCGATTTGCTCCGAGTCTCTCGAGCGCGCGTAATGCGTGGATCACGCGCTCCGCACCTTATTATCCTCTTTATCGCGGGCTATCAGCGCAAGCCAAGCCAGTCAATCGCTCGTTACATCCGTCGGCCGCGCCACTCTTGGAGTCGATCAACGCGCCCTGCTCGACGGAAAAGCCGACGGAAAAGGTGCCGTCAAGCTGGAAAGTCGGACTACCAGTTGCCTCCGCGCGCTTTCGTCCGGCTCGACCCGTGTCAGGTCCATTGACACGTGACGCGTATACACGCACGCACGCACACAGGGAGAGAGACACGCGTGTGGTGTTGGCGCGCACGAGAGAAATCGGGACTGATTGAACGGACGGGCAGTTTGAGCGAAAGATTTCGCGCGCGTTTACGTCATGTCCCGATTTACGAAACGAGCTTCACGTGCCAGCGATCCCCTCGAGGATCACCGAGCGAGTGAGCGAGAGCGCGCGCGATCGTCCGGCGCTCAATGAAGAGACGTCGGGTTAAGGTCAACTGTACGACGCGCGTCGTATCCGAGTTGTCGCCGAAGGATGCTCCGTCGCCACTGTGACCCGGCCAAGAAAATCGCTTCCTACACGTCGCTGGCTTTTAGCACCTGCCTCCTCCTCCTCCTCTCTCGATAGCACGCGGTCCGCCACCAGGAAAAACGCGAGTATTTCGGGAACGGATCGACGCAGAGCGGCGGATATTTATCACCGACACGCGCGACCGACGTAAACAGTCTCGGACACCTCGGAGTCTCTTCGACTACGCGCGAGTCGATCGATCGCACGTGCGAGCTGAACTTCCTCGGCGATCCGCGAGACCCGATCACTCTCACGACGACGAGTTCGTCCTACGACGATGACAGACTCACGGTCAACATCGGATCGGAATCACCACCGGCAACAATTCGCTCGCTGGCCGAGTTCGCGCTTCGACTGAATTAGCACGAGCGAACACGGGCCACCTCGGAGAGCTCCACACCGCCCGCCCCACTCCCTGGCCACGATGCGCAGCGTCTTCCTAAACACTCTTACCGCGCGTAGACGCAAGGTGGAACCGAGGAGACTGATGTCCTCGCGCGAGAGTGCCGTCTCCGGTGGAGCGCGACAGTAGTGGCGCGAAAGCGCCAGCCCTCGCAGCGATAAGAAGCTGCCGGACTGATAACGAACGCTTCGAGGATCGATCCCGGCGGTCTGATCTGCCGCGGTTTCTAATCGTCCGCGCGTTTTGTGCGCCGGGGAAAGCGCGACTGAATGAGTGTGCGAGCTGAATGCGCCGGTCCGCACACAGAGGAGGAGATTTCTTCGGATTCGCAAGAATTTCTTTGACCGAGACGAGTTTTCCTTCTGGAAACGGGGCGAGCAAACGGACGTTTCATCCGACTAGGATCGTTTGATTTCTCAAACAATAAATATCTTTACGTCAAATAACATCCCGGCAAAACATTTCCTGTGTATGACATAGGCGTCATATATATAGAATGTGTGTCATGTACAAAAGTATATAATTATATATGACATGTGGTGGAAATTATACAGAGGGTCCCAAACTAATCTCGGTTCCCGCGGTGCACGGGTTGAACGGGTGAGACTGAGCAGAAAAGTCAATTGTCATTTTGCAAAATTCGTGATAGTTAATGAGAAATGAATGATTTTGTCCGAGCTAAGAAGAAGCGCACCGGAAGTGGTAAGTCGGATTCTGCATAGAAAAATGGTTCACTTCTGAAGATCTTCTAGCAACGATGAATATTATCAACTGATAACGAGAAACATGATTCTTTTCGACGCACAATTCTTCGTCACATGCCACTCGCTGTTCACTGCGTTACTCCGTCTGCAGGAATCAGTTGATGCTCATTGTTTCTAGGAGATCTTCAGAAGTAAGCCATTTTCCTTTATACCGTGTTCAGCCTACCGTTTCCCGTGCACTCATTAGCTGAGACAAAATAATTAATTCCTCATTAACTATTGTGAATTTTGTAAAATGGTGCATGACTTTTCTGCTCAATTTCACTTATTCTGCCGGCACACCGCGGGAACCGAGATTAATTCCGGACACCCTGTATAATTTTATATATGAGAAGCTCTTTACCGGAATATTTCTTTTGTATTTTCATTTAAACATTACAATGGAGAAGTAACATTATGTTAGAAAAATATTAAAGAACTTCGTTTCAGTAGAACAATATTTAATATATAATTGAGATGATTTTTTACTAAAAACGAAATATTATTTCCTCTAAATAATATTGTTTTTCCTATCAAACAACATGGTTTATATAGTCTAATGAAACAACATTTTTGTTCGAACAAAGTGATATTTGATAAATTAAATTGTGTAGTTTGTATTAAACATACTCAAATCAAACAAAAACATATACTAAATCCAAAGAAATCTTTCTCTCGGTGTAGACTTCAGATTCCTGCGGGCCTGTTCCGTCATTTTTTGACATATACGTTATACTTAACCGCGACGTATATGTTGCGCGTCGTCGCGCAAATGTAACAACGAATTCGATTATCCGCATTACACTGAGGAAAAAAAAGCGGTTGGCTCGACAAAATCGGCGGTCACGCTCGTTGAAAAAAAAATATGCCCATTGAACGAATTATGCATTGACTCAAGAATATATTGATATAGTTGCCGATCAAAACCACAATCGTTGAATCACCTGATATAACAGCAACTATATAATTAATATAATATATATTATATAATAATTATAATTTAAAATTATATAATTTAATACAAATTATATATATAACTTGTTGAATAAATGTTGTATTTGAAAAAATCTCGTTCGTTTAAGCGAAGTCTTGTTTGATTCTATAATTTTTTTCTTGGTGTACACTGTGAATTAGTATGCGCTAAAGGTCGTTGCACATAATTTATCAAAATATAATAGAGTAACATGACACTTTAAAATAATTAATGTATATTCAGCTAAATAACATTACAATATTCGTTATTGAATGTTTACAATAGTTCCAAATACTTATATGCTTTTATATTTAACCAATTGCATAGTAGCCTTCAGCACATACGAATCCGGTATAGTACGAGCGATCGAATTCGCTATAACACCCAATGTAATAGCTGCGCGACGACGTTTAACGATAACGATGTTGTCGTTAAAAGTTACAGAATAAGCACACTGGTCGTTCAATGCGATCGTCTGGTTTGATGACGTCAGAAGCGAGGGTGCCCCAAATTCTTACGAAATATGTTGAAACACAAGGATACGTTCGTAAAATGACACTTGTGATAGAATCGAATGCATCTGTATTCCAAAAACTTTCTTTTTGTTCTAACCCAGTAAACACTAATACAGGTAACAGTAAACTAACAGTAACATTATAACAATGTTATAATTTCCCATTCGATAATACAACACATGTTATATTGCACCTATATTGTTGAACGAAAAATTATTACATTGGCGTAATGTCATTAGTAGTTGATATTTATCACGTAACAATTAATAAATCACCATACACAGTAAAATATTTTGTGCTAAAAACGGTCCACTGAAAATTTGTGTTACTTTAACATGGCGAGTGTGTTAAAAAGTACACAAATATAATATTATATTTACACATTCACCTTGTCAACATATATTGATAAGGCGAATGTATTAATTTAACATTATATTTGTGTACTTTTTAACATATTCCCCGTGTTAAAGTAAAAGAAAATTTCAATGGACTCTTTTAAACACAAAAAAATTTTACTGTGTAAAATCAACATTCAATTCCTTCTTTTTCAGCCTAACCGTCCTTATGATTTTGTCATGTTAATTTTACAACAATTTATTGATTGTTAAAGCAAGAGAGATAATTTTACGGTCATGTTCTTTTTAACATATTCCGTAGGAATTTCGGGCATACGCAGTAAAGAGATTTGCGTTAAATTTAACAGGTTTCACATGTTCCAAATGATCCACGCAAAATTTGTTAATTAATTTAACATAGTGTGAATATGTTGAGAAGTAACACAAATATTCTATCAAAAATGAATATCCACGATAAGTTAATCGATAGTCAAGTGTAAAATATGTTATTTTAATACTCATACGTGTTGAATATCAGCTCAACTGGCGAAATACTGAGACAACATGAAGCACAATATGTTAAATTAACACAGAGGTATGCTAAGAATTTAACAGCAAACATTTTAACAAAGACCGATTTCAACGCAAAATGTTCTTTCTACTGTATATGTTCTCTCGCTTCTAAATAATCAAAATAACCGCGGCAAGGAAGCGGGAGCCTCGGNGGGGGGGGGGGGGGGGGAGACGTTAATCTTCTTCATGACTCGCGTCCGCTCGACGAGACGCGCCGGGTTGGCCGAAATTACGCGCACCTGACGAATTTCCCGAGCCGGCCGAGACCTCCCCGGCGAAATCTACGCACTTCCGGAGCTCGGGGCCGAGTGGTAAAACGTGCGTCGAATAAAACTGCGGTTTTTCCATACGGGCTCGGTGGTGACCCTTAGATGGAAGAGGACGAATGAATAGGTACGCGCGTGTTTGCGCTTACTTACGGTCGCCGGGCCGTAGGAATCGCGCCGGCCGGCGGTCGACGATCGCACAATGTGTGTGTGTACCGCCTCTTACGTCAGGATCCGCGATGAATGCCGAATGCAATGAACGCGTCTCGCGACCACGAGATATGATGATCCCTTTCGAGACGCATCTGCCGTATACGCACGCACACCGACTCCTTTCTCCGCGATCTTTATGGCGATCGTTGAACTCGCAGAAACTGCTTTCGCCATTCCGTATATTATTTAGAAGCGCCGACGGTCTCTCTCTTTCTCTCTCTCTCGCTCTCTCGCTCGATAATCATTTCCCCGTGGTCGATAGAATAGGTCGGGATACTCGCGGAGGATTTTTCGAGGAGTTTCGAATGGAAAGCATTTCTCGGGCCGAACAGGTTGTAGCTTAGCGCTCGGGACTATTGGGAGAAAGCCGCAACTTTCTTCGAAGAGCGACAAACGACACACGCGTGCACGTACGTACGTGCGAGGGAATGAAGGAGGGCGAGAGGGAGCGTGCGTGCGAACGATGCGTTGTTGCACCGGGCGAATTGAGGCTCCAGTCGTAAAATTACCATTGACAAAATCGTGAGAAAAGCGGGTTGAAAGAAGTAGAAAGGAAAGTCCCACCGTCATGTTAATTCTGCGACTATCTATCGATCGTTCGAGCGGAAGAAAAGTGTTTGTTCAATTTTACGAGTGTGCCGAATCGATCGCAAACGTCGTCTCTCGCGGATGCATCTTCCCATTTGGAAGTGTAGCGCGAAAAATCCTTTGCATTTGTTCCATCGCTTCTCGACGTCGTTGAACAGGGACAGTCACAGGACCCTCGATGCACACGATTATTCTGCGTGCGTGCGTGTGTGTGTGGGTGCGCGAACGGCCGCGATGTGTGCCGCGCGAAATGACCGTGGGAACTTTTTAGAAACCAGCCCGTAATGGCATGGAAAGCACGAGCGATTGTTTCCATCTCGTTCCGTCGTTAGCGAAATGTCCAGGTGTAGTAATAATAACGAGTACAACGGATATCGCGCGACGGATCCGCGCGGATTACGCGAGACTTCTCGCGCGAGAAGAAACGCGGCTGCGAAGAAACGAGCGGCGTCCAATTAGCGGGAGCATAATTGCCGGGGGGAACGCAATTCGCAAATACCTTTTATCGACGGCGTGGAGGATTTCTGTTTCACGGGTGCGTTAGCCGTTAATCTCCTTGTTATCGCCGGCTTTCGCGCTGACGGCGGGCTCTTCTCTGCAAAGAGATTGTGTTGCGTTAACGAGAGCATGTTAAGCACTAAACCGCCGGTAGTAGTACTCGGACTCGGCGAGCCTGCGAGTACCGTACGGCGAGAACCGTTCCATCGCCCGTACGCCCGCGAGATAAGGAGGCGCCCAGAGAGTGCGGAGGTACGTTTTGCAATTCAAGGTCTTCCCCGGCCGGCGTGTACGCACTCTCCTCGACGCGTAATCGGCAGCGCCGCGCGCGTGATCGGGGCAGCGCGCGGCGCTGATCGGAAATCATCGCCGCGCTGCGACGAAGGCGAGCGAACGAGCGAGCGCGCCACCCGGGCCGCGAGGGTAAGGCACCGTTAGAACACTCTCGAGAACTCGCGAAGGAACAGAAGTTCCAACATTCGTACGCACTTTGTATGCGGTGATTACAATTGCGGCCGATCTCGAGGACTCGAATTCCCGGAAATATTCTTGCAGGCTGCTATCTAGCACGTGACTAATGGCAGATGTACAAGAATATTCCCGTATCCTGCCGTTTGCTTTCCGCAACCGGGCTTTCTCTTTTCTCCACACTTCATTCCGCATTCCCTCATTAACGTCCTCTACGCGAGTGCAGCCCGCGATTCGCGGCCCGGCAGACGCGGTCGCGTTCGGCTAGTTAGTCCCGGAGACGAGAGACGCTCTCTCTCTCTCTCTCTCTCTGTCTTTCTTTCTCTCTTGCTCTCTCTTTCTATTCCCCCCCCCCATTTTTCCTCTCTCTCTCTCTCTCTCTCTTTCTGAGTTTCTGCTCATCACGTCGTTCATCGTTATGGCAGTAGAACTCCAGCCGGAAGTACGCGACGGTGCCCTCGTTCCTATCTCTCCTCACTCTCTCTCCCCTCCTCCTCCTCCTGATTATCAAACGCTACCATACGTCAGGGTAGTCACCTAACTACTTGGCGCGATAAAGCGGCTTGGCCGCTCATAAATGTGTGTGTTTTGCATATTTACCGAGTACGACCGGCGTCACGTCGATGCAGTTCTTTTTCGCGTCGAAATTATTCAAACGGACCTGGTGATTGGCATGGCTGTTCGAGACGAATCTTCTGGGCGGGTTCGCGGACGTCGGTGATCTCTCTGAAAATATCACCAAGATATCGCGTGGTGAGACAGTGAAAGGGTCAGTCTTGCGAGAGAGAGCGAGAAAAAGAAACACAAAAGGAAGGAAAGAAAGAGAGAGAGAGAGAGAGAGAGAGAGGTAGGAAAAACTGGTCTGCGCGAGAAAGGCCACGTTGAATTCTCCGGCAAATAGGATCGAACGATTAACCGGATTAAGACAAGAGCGGATGGACTCGTCGTCGTTGTCGGAGCGACCACCACCGCGGCAAACCGGAAGCACCGTTACACGGTCACCGCTCGTCCGCTCCCTTCTACCTCGTTTGAAGCTGCCTAGACGCATCTTCGCCGAGTCTCGAACGAAGTCCGCCCTTCTCGGCAACGGTCTCTCCTTCGATCCTTGCTGGCCCATGACGACGCGAGTCCGCTTTTCTCTCTCTCTCTCTTTCTTTCTCTTCCTTCTCAGCGTCTCCTCTCCATCGTGAGCCCTCGCGCAAAGCACCGTCCGTGATTCTCCCAGAGCACGACTGCGTGTGCCCTCATCCTGTCGAGTCTTGCGAGCCGAGCGTGAGAATCGGCCGGAGTATAGACGGCGCGCCGATGTTCTCCGACGCGAAGCACAACAACAACAACAGGCATCTCTTCCTCTCTCTCTTTCCTACGCCTTGCCAAGCGCTGGATCGCAACGTGTCTTGCCGGCTCTCGCGGACTCTACATTACAGCTATCGCTATCACACGTATCACACGTATCACGTATCCCGATGCGATACCCGACGCCGATCGGCAGGTAGGAACTGTACCACGTTTCGTTATATCACACATACGATCACATGTCGGCGGACGGCGATTGAACAACGAGCTGGCGCGAAGGAGCTCCCCGTGGTGGCACGAGAAAGAGAGAGAGAGAGTGGGTCGAGAAGTCGCTCTCGATATCTCTCTCTTCGGTTCGCTCGATCATTCAGCTCCTGCGCGCGCGCTTCGTCGACAGATGGACCTTCCTCGTCGGCACCGGCGAGCGTGTGGGCTTAGCGGCGGCCGATTGCATAAGGCGCGGGGTGGATCGAGGTGCCGGGCGCGTACCGATAGTCGTCGACCTTGGTAACGCACGTGCTCGTGTCGGGTACACCTGCCTGCGAGGAGGCTGGTGTTGGTGCTGGCGATGGTGGGGGCGCGGGTGAGGAGGAGGCATCGTTGCCGAGCGACGGAGGTGCACGACGCATAGCGGTGCGAGCGAAGTGCAAAGAAAGCACGACGAAAGCACACTAAGGCCGGAAATAAACGGCGAATGGCGTTGACCCGTGGAGGCAGCTGCCGTGGCTCGTCGCCGAGGTGCCGTTAACACGCGTGGACACGTCCGGGTGGCGCCGTACAGGTAGACGAGCCCGCACGGCTAAATCGCCGCTCGGGGAACGCCGACCGCTCGCTCGCTCGGCACGACGTAGCACCTCGGCGCACCAGGTGTAACGGCCGATGATTCGATGAGATCCAATGTCCCGGGGGATTTGCAACCCGAGCTCTCTCTCTCTCTTTTTCTCTTCACCGGCTTACCCCCGCACGTCACTCGGCACGAAACGTGAACCTGAGAGCGAGATTTTCTCCGCGCAAACGGAGAAGAAGAAAACAAGCAACGAGGGGACTAACGGATGTGGCCGAAGAAGGGGCGCAGCACTCACTCGACCGCTTTCGAGATAAACGATCCGCCCGGAGCAACGTCATGCCCGCCCGCGCACGTAATTCGCACGTGTCGTTTCTCGCGGTGCGCCGCGACGCGCGCACCGCGGCGGCGGAGGGTACGAGGAACGCGACGGGAAATAGGTCACGTCGAAAAGAGACAGAGGGAGAGAGAGAGACGAGTGGTCCTTTCGGTGTGCGCGCACTAGCTCGCCGAGTCCAAGGAGCCGCCGATCACCGGGCGACCGGGCGAAAGCGTAACCGTCAAGTGGACGGGCTGAAGTCGTCGGTAGCTGCAACACCACGTCGAGAGCCGACCAGGCGGAGAGAGAGAGAGAAAGAGAGGGGAATCGATGCTCCGGCCACCGCCTGGATGCGTCGCGCGCTGGTTACTCCGCTCCGATCTACCCGCTAACAGTGCGGCTACGCGTCGACTGTCACAGCGTGATTCCCTTCTCGCCCTCCTTCGTCACCCTTTTACGCACTAGGCTACGCACTCTCCGCGCACACACCGGCACACCGCGCGGTGACCCGATACCGGAACCCGGAGCGAGCGAGGCTGTGCGTCCCGCGAGAGAAAGACGGACGACAGACGGCGAATGCATCGTAGGTGCATGCGCGTGCACGTATATACATGTGTGTGTGTGTGTGTGTGTGTGTGCGTGTACAGAGGAACAGAGAGAGAGAGAAAGAGAACACGATCCAGCACGAGATCCGCCGAAGACTGCCGACTGGATGCTGGCTGGACGCGAAGCTGCGCGCGATGCGCTGCCGCGGCCCTCCTTTGTGTGTACATACAACGGAAGCGAGACGAGTGTCTCGGCGGCGGCGGCGCCGATAAAGGGGGCACCCGGCATAAACACCAACCATCAGTAACGTTACATCGATATTGTAATTTCCCGCTCGACGATACAAGTATAATATAACGTGTAATAGTGTTTTACGTAAAGGTCTTTGCACGTAAGGCATTTTCAGCCGTAACCGTAAATCCGGAAGAAAATTGGCCAATCACAGTTAATTATTCTCCTCCTCGCGGCCGAAGAATAATCGACTGAAATTGGCCAATTTTCTACCGGACTCACGGTTACGGTCGAAAATTTTTCACGCGCAGAGGCCTTCACAGCAGGAATGTGCGGAGGAACACAAGGCATCGATATTTTGTATCGATACGAGTCGAAATAGATAGTACTGATGCACCGATATATTGGTTATAAATGTGTCGATATTTAAAAATATCATTATTTTTGACACATCTTTTAGACATTACTTCATTTATTAGTAATGATAGAATTCTGAATTCTATACATTATGAAAAAGAAGTCTGAGATCGACTACGTCGGCATTTTTCGACGAGCCTTCTGAGAAACTACGTTCTTTTCGCGCGGTAACGCTGTGTGCCGCTTGGTTCGTGTCCATGGCACATCAATAACCCTTAATCAATAAAAGGTCATATTAATATCTGAAGATAGTATTTGAGATCATTTCGAAATGACAATATATTTATGAATATCATCCAATAACGAAACATAGCCAAATTATGTTTCGGTTTGTATCAAATCAATTAATATTTAGGTCATTAACCGATAGGCTATGATATTAAAATTTAAAGTATCGATACAAAAATATCGGGTATCAAATGCCCGTGTGTCGTATTTCAAAGTATCGGTATGATTCCTACAATCCCTACTTTACAGTTACATTCGCTGCATTCAGAAAACATAACGGTCGCATTTGAATAATTGGTCTAAATTTAAGGACAGCATCCAGTAAGCAAGAAATCATTAACACAACATTATTAGTGATATTTTACAACAAGTTTAACGTTTTCAGATATTTAGTCCTTAATGTTATATACAACGTCAGCGTTAATAGTATTAAAGCCAAACGTTAAAAATAATATTCCTACGCTATATAATTTTAATATTTAAGAATATTATCGACGTATTGGTTTATCAAATAACAATTTAAAAACATTTATAAAGTACTGCGTAAAAATATTTATAAAATCCACATCAAATCAATGTTTAGAAGAATTGATACAATGTTTCATGCTTACTGGGTAAAGACTAACAATCAATGACCGCTTACTGATCGCTTTGTTCCGCTGAACGCAGCCATTGTTGAATGAGAAATTATAATATTTATATAACGTTGTTGCTAGTTGTGTTTATTGGGCAGTAAGATCCTCGACGTTTCTCGACGGCCGACCGTTTACTGCCGCTCGAGTGCCGCGGGTCGATAAGGAGACTTCGTCTTTCTCTCCGGTAGGTAATACCGCACGTCAGGAATCGGCGGTCTCTTCCCCGCACCCTTCGAGTCCCGTTCGGGAAGAAACATCGAGTCTTGCGCTGTACGAGCTAATTCGAAAATCCCACGTAGCGGGCGCAATCGATCGATCTCTGTCGTTTCGCGATAATGGGAAATGACGAAGCGGGTTCCAGCAATCTTGCATTTCCGATTCATTTCCGATTTCGCATTAGGTCCGTTACACAATAAATCGCCGTGTTCCTGTCGAATGTCGGAGCGCAGTCGATGGCCCAATGAAAGATATTTACTTCTCGAAAACGAGTTCTGTTATTGGATCACCGGTTGCGTTCCGACATCTGACAGAGACGTACGACTTTTGAGGTCTGTTTTCCATTCCTGAATGACTTATATATACAGGGATGAACTGGAACTTCGTTCCTTTTCCCTTCAACGCTAAGTTATATACTTGTCTTACTGTAACGGTAAAAAGCGCAACCGAGTCTTCAGGAAGAGAAAACAAACTTATTGTGTAACAGGCCTGATGCCGCTTTTAAATTATCTCCGACACCGCCTGTCATAACGCAAATACTGTGTGAGCTAATTAATGCCGTCTAATATTACGCAAAGCCGGGAGATCAACGTAACACACAGCTGTGACATGAGACAGAGCAGAAGAGAAATTTCAGCAGCAACACGTTAAGCCACATGTGGGAAAACCGTATTACTCGCTCTCTTGCTGTATAGTTGCTAGCTATACAGGTGGATTCATTTATAAGTCAAATCGAGAAAGCACGGGTCTGTATAATATATACGTGTGTGTGACTTGGCGTGTTCCGCCAATTTCATCAAGTACGAATACTGATGCCACTTACTTGGCATATCCTTGCTCGGGCCACTGCTGAGGTCGCTCATGGAACTGCGCACGGAACTCCTTGCGGTCTCCTGTGTCGGCGATTTCATCTCTTGCCAGCCACGCATCCTCCTGAGAGATTTGGGAATATTTCCAACATAGTTTATGGTAAAGAAAAAAGAAGGGCGGACTGATCTCATTGTATATAAGACGAGATTTGCACAATGAGAGAGAAGTATGGAAAATCAAAGGAGATCGATGGACAAGTTAAAGTCAGAGACGCCGGTATTGGAGCAAAACAAAAAAATCAATAAGAATACTTACATATATAAGAAACGAACGTTTTCTCATTTGGACCCTTTTTAACGTAATTGACAATTTTAAAACACAGAGCAATTTTGTTTCTACAATTGTCAATTGCGTTGAAAAAAGTCAATGATTGAAGCCGAAATGTTCGTTTTTTATACATCTAAACATTCTTATTAAATTTTGTTCCGTTCTAACACTAACGTCCCAAGTAGAACAAAAAATCATATAAAAGTCAAAATAACGTCATATTAACTTTTATATTTATTTTTTATTCTATTTAAGGTCTCTGGCTCTTACTTGCTTATCGTTCTCCTTTGAGAGAATTAATATTTTCAGGCTGCTCATCAACACGAACTCATCAACACGGTTGAAGGCTTACCGTTTGTCCTTGTTGTTGTTGTTGTAATTATTCGAGTCGCCGGCTTTCTTTAACGTCGGCCTCGTAGAAGGCGACAGTGCCAGATTCTGCAGCACCCTCGACTTGACTTCCTTCCTGGCTGACCTCGTTCTCTGCTCGTTCTTGCCAGCTTCGATCTTGTTCATGACCGCGTCCCAACGGCCGCCTTTCCTAGCCGATCTTTGGGAGCGTCTCGCTTCTTTCTCCGCGTCGTCCTTCGCAGACGACTCGATCATCGCTTTGATCTTCGAGACGACGTTCTTCTTTGGCATCTTATACTTCTTCAAAGGCATCGAATCAGCCTTGCTTGGTGTTTTAGGTCGGATGTTCTCGTTATTTTCGACCGTCTTGATCGCCGGTACCTCGGCGGAATTCGTCGTGTCATTCAAGCCTTTTGTCTCGTCCGAAGTCTTGATAGGGTTCTATACGGCAAGGCATCCAATAAGCAAGATGTTAGCAATATTCTGGTAAACCGACAGCAGATTCAATCAGAAAAACATAACAAATCTATAGTCATCTGTTCCTGCAGTAAGCTCATATTCTGTCGACAGAGCCTGCTCATAATTTGACAGCAGAAACCTAGCGGAATCTGCAGCAGGTTCCACTTAAAAAGACATTTATCCATGAGCAAAATGTTAGCAGCATGCTCGCAAATTGACACTCCATTTGAATACATTTAAACGATGACGGAACAACAGATCCTACTCGTTTTCTGTTGTCAATCTGTCATCATATTTCGCTAGCAGATCCTGTTGAATTTCCGCTAATAAACTGTCGACAAAATAATAGATACTACGTAAAATCTACTTCCGCAGGTTTGACTATCTCCCGGATAACAAATTCCATTCAATCTAACCTCATTTTGTATTCACGATAATCAAAGCATGAGGGCAAGAATAAATACAGATGAGTGCGCATACGTTGCTCAGATGTCGTTCATATCTTGATGTGACAAAAATATCTCATCTAACAGCATTAATCGTAATCAAAAACGTGCCATTTGTGTACATCTTGTGCTCGTGTGATGTTAATCACGTAATGATCTTTAAAAAGATATTAAGTGGAAGTTACAGTATGACGTCACATTGTGATGAGACGTGATCATCGCGCATTTCCATCTGAGTCTGGGTAAGCAGAGTATCCTTTTACGTGATATATATTGTAAATTTTGTCGACGGCAGAAATTCAACAGGTTCAACCAACAAAGTATGATGACAGACTGGCGGTAGAAACCGAATCTGCAGTATGTTCCATTTAAATGGTTGCGGTAAGACAGATCCTGCTCGGTTCTCGTCGTCAATCTGCTGTCAAGTTACGTCAACAGGCTCTGTCGACAGAATACTCGCTTCATGCGGACGTAAATGACTATATATCTGCCACGGTATTCCGATCGAATCCGCTGCCAATCTGCCAGCATACTGCTGACATTTTGCTTATTGGGTAGATGATTATAGACCGACACGTTTTGCTCGGTTTCTCCCGTCAATCTGTCGTCGTACTCCGCTAGCAAGCTGCCGAGGAAATTTACCGCAGACACCGCGCAAGATCCGCATTCCTACCGGTTTGGCTATCCGGATCGTTTACATAACGAAGTACGAAGAGAAAAAAAAAGTCCCGCTGCATACACAATCACCGAATCCTGTTTTCTCGTTGATTCCTTAAATAATCTCACCTGCAGATAATCCATGATGACGTTCGCGGCTACCGGCGACGGCTGGCTTCTCTGCGAGAGCTCGGTGTCGCCGGTGTCGGGCGTGTGATCGTCGTTCTCCTCCGGCGCCTGTTCGGGCGCCTGAAGCTTGTCCAGGTCCGAGTAAATGCCACTCGAGTCCATCTCCTCGCCGGTGAAGCTCGGGCATCTGCGTTCGCCCGGGGCGCAGAACAGCGTACCGTCGATCACTTGGGCTTTCCTGTCGCCCCGCACTATCTCCTCGTGGGCGTCGGCGTCGCTCTCCGTGAAGAAGTCCGAGTCGGTCATCGGATCTTGCCTGCACGGGGCGGGAAGATTCACCGGCGGCACTATGGACGGCGGATCCGCACCGCGGCTGGCCGGCCTCGAGTTCTCGCCGTCGCCTTGGTAGCCCGCCTCGAGACTCGTGATGCTGGTGACCGACGTGACGAAGCTCACGGGCACTGTGTTACCTCTGATCGGTTCCACCGGTTTCGGGTCGAGCGGCAGTTCCTCCGGGGAAGGCGTCCTCTCGCTGCAACCCTCCTCCGCCAGTGGTCTTGAAGCGGACGCTCGCGTCAACGCTACTTTCGAGCCGGCCGAGCCGGTGAGATTCTCGCAGGATGGTGTCCTGGAGCACTCCAGCGCGACCGTGAAATCAGTCATCTGGTCGGGGGTCAGGATGCCTAAGCTTTCGTCGTGCTCGAATGAGTTCTGTTTGTTGAGCATCAAATAATGCGGCGTCGCGTTCGCATCATTGTAATTGCCTAAGCTGGTCTCTACGAGGCAGCTATCGCCGACATCCTCGATCATGCTCAGCTGAGAATCCTCGAGTAGCCTGTGTGTCGTCGTCGCACCGGGAAAAAAAACATACGCGAGGTGAGGCTCGTAAATTCAGTGATAAATCTGCCGCGAAATCTGGATATCGGGGAACGTGGGGGAGTTCGTACCTGAACAGGCTGCTCTTCTCTTCGCTGAGCTGCACCAATTGCTGCACATCGTTCTTGTCTATGTCCCACACGGGTGATATCGTGAATGTCTGATCCGTCGTATCGCCTGAAATACGGGATTGGGTTTGCACGTGTTAAACTGTACTTGAAAGCGTCGCACGTGATAATTGTGTCGAGTCGGTCGCAAAAGTTCGGCTCGATTTCTCGGTGGGATTGTTTTTATCGCACTAAAAACACAATTTTTCATGTTTTGTAATCGAACAAGCGAAAGAATTATAGCCAGAAGAACCTTTTTTAGTGTTACCGCAGTGTCAGTGATAACCTTACATGCATATTGCTACTACTATTTTCGGGCTAAAACCAGAAGAAGATATAGTTGAGGCCGAAAATAACCGCTGAGGCCGGCTCTAACTTCAGTATGATTTCTCTCATTGTACATTCGGTGGAAATAAATTACTCGATCGACTGAGCAATCGCCATCCTTGCCTGTGATCACTTCATCGACGTTCCGACAGTATCCGCATATTTTTACCGCAGAATATGGCCAGTTTACCGTCGCAAGAGGTGAAAAAAGAAAAAAATCGCACCGAACTTCCCGGCCGATCCGACAGATAGAAAAGCGTTACTCTTGATAGTAGGCGTTGACGACACGAATCCCGCGAACTTCTCTCTCGGAGTGGCGGGCTCGTCCTCGGTGTTAACGAACTGAAAGCAACCCGAGAAGATGGTAGATCGGCGACCTCCCGACAAGAGCCTCGACGCCTCGAGTACTCTCGATTTCGGGAAGAACGACGGACGAGCTGGCCGTGGAACAGGTATCCGACTCTCCCCTACGTTCTGCAACCGAAAGAAGTGAGAGTGAGCGAAGAGAGGCCGCTTTTTATCCGAAAACGCTCGTAAATATGTAAATGCCTTCTTATGCGATATAATAGACGCGCTTATATACATCCTGAACTACTCTAACGGCGCCGAGTTTCACGAGATTTCTCGCATGCATATCGTGCGAACGGCGGTCCCGGCCTCTCGCGAATGCGCGTGACATCGCGCCGATATAGATAACGACGGAGCGCTCTCCGAAGTAGCGAGCTTAATTACCGTTCTATTGTACGAGAGTAGGATTAATGGATGGGCGTAGTTCGAAGGTAGTTATTTCTTTTTTTCAAGGCCAGCCAGAACCTTTCGACCCACCAAGGCACGACCACGGTACGGAGTCCGTTGCCCTTGGCCCACCTCCAAATAATAGCTCCACCCCTTCGCGGTGAATCAGTGGGAAGTGTTCTTGTCAGTTGGTTAATTTAATTTTAGTTCACGACTACGTTTCTTTCTCTCTCTCTCTCTCTCTCTCTCTCCCTCTCCCCCCCTCTCCCTTTTTCTTTCTCGTAGGTGCACTGAGAAAAAGATTTCTTCAAATTTAACAAATATTATTGCATCCAAACAAATTTCATCATTGGCATGCGTCAGAGAAACTAATGTTTCGATTAACAAGTATGATTGTCAGACTTTTCAACGAATATGTATCTTTATCTTAAACAAAAAATTTGTTTGAAACGAAAGACAATTTTCTTATAAAGAAATTATTTGTTTCATTTCACATATTTATTGTAACCAGACAATATTTTATTTGATTGAAAGATATTGTTTCAAATAATAGCGTTCTTTCTGTTAAATAATAGAGTTTTCTTAAATAAGGCAATATAATTTTTACTCGAACAAATAATATTTCATATACGTTGTTTCTATGAAACAAATTTTAGTTAAATAAATCGAAATACTAAATCTAAAGAAATCTTTTCCTCTGTATGCGCACGAACGAGCATTTCTTTTTGAATATACACGACAACGCCGACCGCGATTTCGTACGCTTCTCCTTTTTTCGTCACGTAACACCGTACGTAACGCACGATACAATTACTACTAATTAACACCTGTCCTTTCAGACCCTTTACAGCGTGTACAGGGTGGTCTCGAGAGAAATGACCACGAGAGAAGGCTTTCCAATGTACAATCGATAATATATCCAGATTGACAATTTTGCGCGCCAAGTTTGCGCCTGTTGTTACGTTTGTAAGCTTTATGTACGAGTTGTCTAGATTCTATTCGTGAGATATATATTCAATCATGCATATTCCACGCAAATTGATAGGTTAAGTATCGCACCCTGTGCACCAGCAAATCTCATGCAAACGATTAGCATACGGTTAACATTTGCTCGTGATTCGATGGTACATTATGCGGCTTTTACAGGAATGCCATACTTGAAAACTTTACCGACTGATTTTTTTCTCTGCAAAATTTAATGATTGCACAAAATTGTAAATGCTTTTGCACAATAAAAGTACATGTTAAAATAAATTGGAGCATCGCTTAATATGTGACGAGAACGACTAAGAATTTCAAAATTGACATCTCTGGCTGTCTGTTAGCGTAAATATTTACCTGATACAGAAGTCATGTTGCTTGTACGCATTGAATGTGTTAAGCCGAGTCGAAATTTTAATTTTATATTAAATTTAGTTCTATATTAAGTCTAAAAGGACATATTGTATCTTTTACAATGACTTTTCTCATAAATTTATCACTATTGTTAATCCATGTGAGAAGCAAATTATGTTATTAGTATAATTAATCAGCTCCTTTATTCAAAATGTTCCAAATTTAACTAAGTTTGTTACATTTATTCATTCATTTCCTTTCAATTACTTCAATCTAAATTCCCCTTTCAACTTTCCCCTTTCATATGGTCCTATCTCAGGTAAAGAAATTAAGTTCTTTGACTTAAATAAAGGACCACCTAACGTACGTTCTGCGATCGGAGTAAATGGACCTCTCCGGACCTTGACCTGACCCGCAGACCTACCAGTACGTTTAGGCCTCGCGAGTGCGCGAGTATGCGATGTTTGTTGCGTACATCCTCTTCCAGGACATAACATGTACAAAAGATATAAAAAGAATGCAGCATGATCGTGTCAGTATTTATGTAACATTTTGAGGATCTCCTCTACGTTATCGACACTTATCAAGTTCGTCATTTTTGGCCTCCTTAAATCAGCTATCTACTCACAAGTCGTTTGCTGTATTCGCATGATTCTTGTTTTGATCCTGCGAACATTTCTCATTTTCATGAAAATGTTACCCGCAAAAATGCCGTTAATCATTTAGTTGCCCTATAATGTCGCGCTGGAATGAAGTTTTGCTTGATAATAATCTTCGTGCGTGATTTGCTAAATCTATAATCCCATCGCCAGGTGTGGTGACACCTCTCTTTCTCATATACCTGTGGTATACACGTTGATTATACACAGACATATGGGACCTACAGTTCAATGCCAATTCCGAACGGCAAATGGTTGAAAGGTCTCTCGGTAAAGGATACTCTCGGTGGTTTGCCATTGCCTTTCGAAAGGAGACACGAGCGAATGAAAATTTTTGGCTCTGCCGGGATTCGAGAACCTGTGATTTCTAGTATAGCACACCAGTATCTATCATGCCACGTTCACGCTCAATATGCTAAATATCTGCGCGCATAATGTTTTCTGGGATAGCGAAGCGAGCAAGAACCGATACAATTGTACACGGAAAAAATATTGTAATAAAAATTATTATAAAAAAGAGGAGAGTCAATAAAGCCGTTTTTTCCCCTCCCGATGTCCATTAAACAAATTTTTTGTATTATATGATCATTAGAAATGTCAGAAATAATCATTGGAGGAGAAAAAACTCAACCCATAAGGCCATAATTAATTATTAGTCTAGATATACGACAATAATACCTTTTTTAATGACATTTTTTTTGACATTTTATGACATTAACTAATAAAATATTTCCGTTCATTATACTACTCTGCCATGCTGCTCGCGAAAGAATAACGCAGCGCGACATGCGGGAGATCCAACTCGCCATTCTTGAATATAATTATCTAATACTACTGCAATATATATAAAATCCTTGTAAAGAATATTATTGACTGTTATAAATATTATTGATTATTTTTTTAACAGTTCTACTTGAAGATATCGAAAAAAATTGATTCGTGTCTGAAATTCACTCCAGAATTTATTAAAATTAATATGTATTATTAAAATTAATACATAAGACACATTAAATAGTAAAAAATAATTTTTTTTTACTATAAGCTGTATTCACCTTGGAAACGATAGATATTGCGATCTTAACTGACGTTAATATGTGGTGGCAACTGAGGTTAATACGATGGCAGCGCGGTATAATGAACGAAAATATTTTATTAGTTCATTTATTAATCATGAAAAGGTATCATAGTAGCATATATCTCGACTAATAACACTGGTATACACGGTTTTGTTCTAGAGCAGCTGAAATATGTTTCTAAGGTAATTTTCTACGCTGATTCGAAGTTCGCAGTCCGTTTTTTCGTAAGTTATCAGGTTTTCGAGATATATGAAAGGCCTTTTTTGCTGTTTTTGGCCACAATGACCCATTTTATTCAAAAATTTAGAAGTGAACGGACGCCAAACTTTGTCTCATGTGTTGTTTTGAGTCCGTTTTACGTAATAAGGACCAGCAGTAATCGCTGAGCATGCCCTCATCCCAAAAACCTTGGTAATTACGCTCAATTCTTCGCATACCTTGGTACATTCGCTCGCCTTACTCATCGCTTACTTCGTCCAAGTTTTCCGGGAAAAACTTCAAGTGAGAATGTAAGAAATGGAGCTTGAGCGACGTACGAGCACTAATTCGACGATAATTTTCAAGCAGATCCGCAACTATTTGCCTGTAGTTGTCGCTTTTTCAGTTGTCGAGAAATTCACGGACAACTCTTTTGAAAAACGCCCATGCTGCGGTTTCTGCGGCTGACAAATGTTGCAAAAACTGCTGGTCATTAATTAATTCTCTTATTTGTGGACCCATAAAGATTCCCTCTTTGACTTTGGCAGAAGATATTTTTGGAAACTTTGTCGTCAAATATGACACGACACTACTGCCACCTGGCGATATCTCGAAAACCTGACGACCCAGAAAAATTCTGGCGCCGGATTTGAATTCAGCGTAAAAAACTATTGTAAAAATAGTTATCAGCTGCTCTAGTACAAAAGTTGACCGAAATTTGTAAACTAGTGTAATTAATTATGGCTTTATGGATCGAGTTTTTCTCATCTAATGATTATTTTTGACATACCTAATGATCATAAAATACAAGAAAAATTATTTAACGAAAATCGGGATACAAAAACGGCTTTATTGACCTTCCTTTTTGTCCTTTCTCCTTCGTCTTGTAATACTGGACCATACCGGAATTAGAACTGAAATTATGATGTATAATTTTTAATTACGTATTTCATTATGCACACATCACTAAAAATTACAACATACATCATAATTTCAGTTATAATTCCGATATGGTCTTGCATTAGAAAATTTTAACAGTAATTTTTAGCAACAAGTAACTTTTACAACAATTTTTTCTCCTGTATATTCAGCTCACTTGTCATATTATCGAATCTAAGGAGAAGCTTGAGGAAATCAGAGCGGTGTCGGAGAAAAAAAAACGCGGAAAACGTTCGATTCACGCCGGCTCGGCTAACAATGACTCTCGTCGATGGTTGTTCTCCGGCGGTCGAAGAGTTTCGTTCAAGCGAGGTGGAGAGAACTGTGCTAGCGTGTCTACGAACAATGGCAGATATCATCGATGCTCTCCTCGATGCGAGAAACGGAATACCGCGTAACCGAGTGCGTTCACCGACGGCAGTGTTGAACGTGTGGACGACGGCGGCGTCGGAGCTGAGAACTAGGTTACTGCGAACCGCTACGCGCTTCGTACCCTGAACGTAAATCACCGGAGAATCCCTTTTTCCTACTG